AAAATTGATATTTTTATATATTTGGCATCTTTGTATTGTGAGCAACATATTTTAAAAAAAAAAATTTTTTTTTCAAAAATAAATTTTGTTTTATGAGTTTTTTGAAATTCTATTTTGGCGTTCACAGCAATAGCAATAGATGGAAAATAGTTGTTATTTGAATTGCACAGCAGCGTCGACATTTGACGAATTTGAAAACGTATTTTTCAAAAATAGGATTAAAAATTACCTCAGCTTCCTTACAGTCATACTATTCTGCTACAGTACACAACTTGGGAAATTAAATAAATAATAAAATAAAAATGAATCATAAAATAAATTAAAGCTATATCTAGGTCTGCCTATTTCTAGGATTTAATATAATTTGCCTTTTTAATTTCTTCTATTAGAGAACTTGAAAGTTTTAATTTCACTAGTTCGAAAAATGTACTACGAATAAAAGAAATGAGTCTAATAAGTTTTTTCTGTTCACAAAATATTCAATGAATTCAAAAAATTCAATAGTAAACGAATTCAAGGATTTAATATTTTGAATGAACAAAATAAATACAAAATCTTTCCTTTATTTAAATATCATTTCAATATTAAAGTTCGTGTAACAAAATATTTATACACATTCGAAAATAAAAGTGTTTTGAGCTTTAGAAAAAGTAAATCCGTTATTATTTAAAGATCGCGACCTCAGTTTGAAAAAGCAGAATATTAATATATTTGACATTTCCATTTGAGGTTTTAAATGGAAAATAGTTTCAACGAGTGTTTTTTCGTGTTTTAGGCAGTGGGTCTGCAGATTAAAACTTAAAAAGGGCTTACAGCACACGTTTTCTTTTCTTTCAAAATAATTGAGTTTACGATCAAAGAAAGATATATTTTCATATTAAAAGCATGTGACATTATTCAGATACATCTTTTTTGTTATGAAAGGCAAATTTCACTTAAACATGCTTAGCTTGGGTTTTTAAGGTTATTCCAAATCGGCTCTAGTGGCCAAGACGGATTAAGAATACCGCATTTTGGTTATAATCAATAATATTCGATGGTTATTATTTTAACGATACCCGATTAGGTAGTTAGCATAGAAAAATAATCATAATTTTTGTTCTAATCAGGCTCTGTCTAGTTTGATACACTGTTAAGAGGACGCTATATCGCCGGAGAAACTTTTCATCGCAAATTCTGTTTCTCTTCTTTTTTTCTTTTTTTTAGTTTTGAGTATAGAAAAAAGTACGCTCAAGTAAAGGAAGAGTAAAAAATAAAATTGAAAACATTGCTTTTTTTTTCTTTTCGTTTCAAATATCAGAATGTAAACAAATTATGGTAAGATTACTTCCCTGTTCATTTTGATATTTTGAAAAACTTTATTTTTTCATTTGAAACTTCCTGGATTATTCTAGGTTTACCTGAACTCAAACTTTAAATTACTAATGTAGGTGGAACAGAATTTATTATTGCTCATTTATAAATGCATAAAAGTAAATAAGAGTATGAGCTCAAATTTCCTGCGATTCATAAGATATGTATTCTGTGGAGAGAATTGTTATCGACCATGTCAACCTTCATCTATGAAAAGGTACACCCCTCATAGAATCGAGTTAACATCTCTTATATACTAGTGAATAGGGATTGTTATTTTTGTAGTGGTAGATACACTACAATTCTATCAATTGTTCCTTTTGCTGTTGTTATTGTTAATTTACGTCGCACTAGAGCTGCACAATGGGCTATTGGCGACGGTCTGGGACACATCCCGGAGGATTATCCGAAGACATGCCATCACAATTTTGATCCTCTGCGGAGGGGATGTTCCTTTTGCATAGTAAGGCGATATCCTTTAGAATAAGTTAGACTTTTATTGTTAAACGAAGATATTTAGTGCCGAATTTTCAAGGAAGTCGCTAATTTGGCGATATTTTTATTTCTGGTCATCTGTTTTATCATTACAAAATGACATAACTCGGTAATTTTTAGCTCACACGTGTTTTTTTTTTTTTTTTTTTTTTTTTAAGAGAACGAACGATTTTTGAGTAATAAATTTGCTAGTTCAAACAATAAACAACAAATCAATAACAGTCAACAAGAAAATACAATTAAGCGGGAGAAGAAGACACAAATAGCCAAATAGCGAGAGAGTAAAGCTGTTAAAACAATCCGTAAATTAATTTTGCTGAAGGAAAGAGTACTGCTCCCTCTGGTGTAGACATGGGCATACTTAGAAGGGGGGAGGCGGTAGGTATATGTCCGGCTTTTGATAATAAAACTCTCTAAAAGTTCCCTGACAAACACATCATCACAAACACATATATAATACACCAGTCATTATAGATTTAAATTCATTAAAGTTAAAAACAGGAAAGAGATTAATTTTTTTTACAGATGTTAAACAGAATTTTTTTTTAATATGAGAGAAATTTAGAAAATTAGTTAGACTGTGTATTTTAATTTTGTCCATCTAAAAAATGGGACACCTGCACTCAGGATGGTAGAAATCACCATCCAAAGTAAGAAGAGTGTTGACTTTTCAATTTCTACTGAAGTGATAAGTTTTCGGGGATTCTAACGGTAAAAGTGTGATAGTTTTGAACAAGAAGTAAAAAAAACTACAGTGAAAGCGAACTTTTAGAACTAAGGTCTACACTGCACAGAACCTAAATACAGAAGCATGCTCTGAAGAGTGTGATTATCTCTCTAAAGCCATAAATCCACTAGGTGGAAGAAAAACTTGTAGTTGGTGGCAAAGTAAAATACCTTTATACACCCAAATACAACCATTAATGCTCAGAGCTATAAAAATCCTTCGGTGAGCACTAAAATGTTTTCATCTCATTTTAGAGGAACATAAGTCCGTTGAAATTCCCCTTAGAGCACTCTTCTCTTGTCATTTTGAATTCTAGGATAAAGAGAAATAACATTTGATAACTTTTAGAACTTTTGCTGATTTTCGCGAAAATGTAAGACAGTGAAGTTAAGAGGTCAGAAATTTTCAATAGGTTTTCGATTTTTGTACATTTATGTGTTTTTTAATTTTTTAAAACTTTTATCTTTTTTAACAGCGACTTTTTTAATGGTGACGAAAAGCTTTTAGTAACTTAAACTACCCTTAAACATTAATACTTTTAAAAAATAATTCTAAAATCACCTGAATTTCCATAACCTGAATAATCTAAAATCATATTCTTGTCTCCGTAATTGATGCGCCCTCTCAACTTCTTTAGTAGCTCTCGTTTGCAGGGATAAGATTGTTTTGAGTTATTGTGGCCACGCTCCGAACTTTTTTGCTGTCTAGCAGTTTTTCATATTCTTACAGTTCTTTCGAATTTCTATGGTGATATGACTTCGATTTCTAGCATCCATGTGGTTTTATGTGCTCTTGAACACTTACTCTGCTCCAACCAATTTTTAGTTTTTGACTAAATCAAAGTTTTTTTTTAATGCTTTTTGAATCAGTTGTTTTGTCAAAACCCAGTTAGTGTTTTGTCTCATCTTTATTGGGTACCTGAGGGCAACAATTTCCCTTCGTTTTGTTTTTTAATAACTTCTGTAAAGGTATCTTAGAATATACAGAGTGTTTTATAAGAACCACCCTTAATGTATATTTTTTTAAAATCCTTGTCTAAAATTTAATTTTAAAATGTAGCACATTAAGGGTCGCAAATTAATAATCATGGGAGGAAAAAGCTAAAACGCTAACCAGGGTGCGTAGCCAAATCTTTGAATCAAAAATAAGCACTTTTTAAAAACTTTTCAAGCACTTTACAAAAATTTTCAAGCACTCAAAAAATTCATATTCAATCANTTGAATCAGTTGTTTTGTTAAAACCCAGTTAGTGTTTTGTCTCATCTTCATTGGGTACCTAAGGGCAACAATTTCCCTTCGTTCTGTTTTTTAATAACTTCTGTAAAGGTATCTTAAAATATACAGAGTGTTTTATAAGAACCTCCCTTAATGTATATTTCTTTAAAATCCTTGTCTAAAATTAATTTTAAAAAATAGCACATTAAGGATCGCAAATTAATATTCATGGGAGGAAAAAGCTAAAACGCTAACTAATGAATTACCACTGCACAGAGCTCAAAACAATAAAATTTGTTTGATTGCTGAGGGAAACAGGGAGGAGTTGTAAAGTACTTACAGAAACACCTTTTATTTTATTCAGGTAATGAAACAGGTTTTCTTATTTTTCATTCATTGGGCAAAGTATATATGCATACGGCGTTTTAAACATTCATTAATGCTACCCAAACTATTCAAATACCCAATATTAATTTAAAGTAGTATTCTAATATTTTTAATATCTTCATGTGCGAAATATTCCGGGTGTTCCGTAAATATCGCTCTTAATATACATTTATGAATCCTAGATAAAATGAAATTAAGACAGTATGCGCATTAGGAATCGCAAATTTATATTTAAGTGAGGAAGGAAGAAATAAAAACGATAACGCAATCTGTCAAATCACTTGCAAGGGAGGCGGTATGAAATACAAAACAAGTTTGATTACCTTATGAAACTTAGAGACGTTTCTACTCTACGACTCTTCTCTTTTTCTTTTGATAATCAAACAGGTTTTGAAACTTTCCAAGATTTCAACAGCATTTTTGTTTTTCTCTCACTTGAATATTAATTAGCATCCTTAAAATTAGTACTGTTTGAATGGATTTTGTGCATGAGTAATGAAATGAAAAAAATTTATTTCATTGCCCATGTAAGGTCGGTACTTACGAAACACTCTATATACAGGGTTATTCTTAATTCCCTCCGGGGTTTCGAAGCGTTATAGTAAAAAAACGAAGACGAATATGGCAAAAAAGAGCATATGAAATTATTCCGAAAGTATTCCAAGTTTTAATTTAAGCAGTTGCCGGTAGATGACAGTAACATGTACCACTGAAGCCAGCTGTAGTAAAGAAAAATGGCGTTTACAGGCGGAGAGAATTATGAATAACCCTGTATAATAAAAATATTATAACCATGATCTTATTTTATTAATTTTTTTTTCAGAACTCCTATTACGAATGAAAGAGCTATAAACCAATATATAGCGAAGTCATGGGATGAAGCCCCACAAGATGTGAAGCAATACTTTCCAAGTAATTACTCGCAGCGTTTCATCCAAAATGTCATGAAATTCTTGACATACTCCATAAGTGATAAACCTCAGGAAGTTGTGGACTGCTTAGAAGAAAGCGTCATGGCCTTAACTCCAAAATATGCTTACAACCCAGGGACGGTTTACTCACGATTTTCTTTCTGGTTCATGAACAGAATTGCCAAGCCACTTGCTGATTTAGCCCTTCATGACGAATTTATACTTAAAATCGATCCACCTGTTGCACAGAAATGAAATTGCTTGGACTAAAATGATGATATTTGATTTGATCTACATGTAAGTGGGACACATATGAACAAAATATTTATTTACCTTGTTCTGGGATAATTGTTTTCGGAAGTAGTTATCTACTTTGGGGTCAATTCTGTGGAATTGTACATGAAACAATCACATTTTGTTCTCAAATAGTTATTGTTTTAAAATTCAATTTTTATACATTTATATGCCGTTGAGTATCTTGAAAATGACTGACGATACTAATAATCAATTTGATGAAAACGGAAGGTGATAGAAATGTGCGATTTGCCGCCTTCTGCTTTGAAACCCAGCGATTTCTTGACTTAAAGTTTCAAAATTAGTTACTAAGTTTACCAACAGATGGTACTACAAACTGAGAAAAACTACGAAAAACTATTTTGATAAAAACCACTATTTAAAAGACGTTCGTGCAAACTTTCCAGTTAGAATGATCTAACATGCCGCGGGAAACATCTCTTTTATTGGTTTTCCCAGTCAGCGCCGTTGTTTGTAGACGAACTTAGTAACTAATTTTGAGATTTGTTTCATTTATTTATTTTTGTTGCCTACGTAGAACGCAGCAAACAGAAAATCTCAATCTTCTTCTTTCGATTCTTTTTTTAAATACAAATAATAAAGGGGCCTACCTGGCCGAACTGTATCGCTCGTCAAACGCAATGTGAAGCGTGGAGGTGGCGGGTTCGAATCCCGTTGTTACCCTGGATGTATTCTTTGTGATGTCCTTCTCTAAATTGTTCTATCTGTCCTTCTACTTGACAAAGGTTTATAAGCCTAAATTGAGCAAACAAGCCTGCAAATGTATGTAATTTCACTAAACAATATAAATAATAAATCAGGTAATAAATACACGCATATAATAAATACTACTGAGGAGTGTCTCAAAATACAATGGTCACGTAACGAGCCAAATGACTTCAAAATACATCGGAAACAGTAACCCGAAGTATATGGAGTAAAGAGCTTGCAGCGCACCCTAGTGTAGAAAACCTTATCCATAGAAAAAGAGTTTAATCTTATTATACCTGATTTAGATTTTTATAATGAAACTAACTGTCATGTTAGATTTTTTTTCCTCTGTGATATATATAAGTTAAAGAATATTTTTATTTTGTTGAAGTATTTGATTAGGGACAAATTTTTTAGAATTTATTTTCACAGTTTGCCTTTTTAATATAGATCTTTTCGTATATAGGTATAAACTATTGTGATTTACTATTTGTAGCTTTTTTGAACATATTAAAATAAATCATTTATTATTTTTGCTGAATGTTCTACTATATGAAAAACTTCTGTCTTAACCTTTGTCATTCTTGTAGCTGGAATGAAAAAAAAAATGTATTTAAGAACAAGTTTTAGTTAAGAGTAATCATTTCTATGAAAGCACACAAAGGAATGATGAAAGTACCTATGTATGTATGAAAGTATCTAAGTTTCTATGAAAGTACCTAAAAAAATCAGCATATGTGTAATGTTCAGATAGTGTTCATTTGAGCGACAATCACTTCAACGACAGGCAATTTCTCTGTCAATAAAAAGAAAATTATACTATGATACATAATGTTCCACCACAATAAATAGTTCACAAATTGAATCGTCACAAAAATTAATACAGTTTAAAATCTCGTTAAAAAAAAAAGAGCAACAAACTTTTACAATGATAATAATAATAGTAGTACAAAGAATTTAATCAGTATGACGGAGGTTTTGTTTCTCCGTCAGTAGTCGCCAATAGTTGTATATTGTAATATATGAATGTTCATTTAGGCCATTAATGAAAGAATTGAACAATTGAGTTTCCAGGAAATAATGTACAAATCGTTGAATGTAAATTTAGATTTTATTAAGAATAATTTGTGATTTAGACAATGGCCATTTCTTCATCAAAAAATAAGAAATCCCTTAAAGGGATGAAATCAGAATACTCTCTATTGAGAGATCATAAAGCCAGAACATCCTTTCTGACCGTTTTAAAAATTGAGACTGGGGAGACCCCAAAGGGCTCCCAGCCTCCACAAATTTGAAATTAAAAGTGAATATAATTATTCTCAACGGACAGAGAATGTATGGGCAGGAGATCCAAAGTTGGCGATTTATCCTAATATACCATAGCCAAAACAAAGCCAACTTGCATATCAACATGGGTTTAAAAGAACACCTTGGCGATCACGAGTCGCCAACAAATTTATGAGAATTATTACTACCATGCAACCGAAACATTTAGCCGTTGGAAATTTAGAATAAAAAGTTATAAATAGATTTTTGTTTTCGATTAGAGGCGACAGTGAATTTATAAGTCTGCATTAGTAATGAAATAAAAAAAAAAGTATCCGTTACATTGATCTAGAAGAGAAGAAATAAATATTTTATGTTCGTTTAAAAAGATTAAGTTTTTGATTTATTTTAAATCTAATTCTTCTATTAATAAAAATCAGCTTAAGTAATGAAAGATATTTTTAAAAGATAGGAAATAAATATGTAATGCCAATTGTGGCATCACAATCAGAAATGTACAAGTGAAATTACTCCTTAATTTATCATACATTTTATATTCCCAAGTTCAAATATTTTTTTTTTTCATATGCAATAATCATTTGTATTGTCACGATCAACATACTAACAAAATTTTCTGTCATAAAATTGGAAAATTATATATTTCATAACCAAAGTAATCTCTTTCTCTTTTTTTATTTGATTATTATTATTCTTTTTTTTTTGAAAAATAGTGAATTTTAAAGTAAAAAACTAAAATAGATCAGAGGCAATTACGAGGGTTGGTGAGCGAAGCGAATAGGGGCAAAATTTTTTAGTATTATATAAGTCTTGAAAAAAATGCATGTTTGAGATAACAAAATGAAACTCCAACTTGGAAAACATGTTGGCAAATATTATTTATCTAGCCGCGGTGGCTCAGGGGATAGAGCTCTCGCCTCCCAATGAGGTGAACCGGGTTCGAATCTCAGCAACGGCTGGGGAGTGGGGGTGCGATAAGGGTAAAACGCGTATACATACATTTTTGGTATCTAACAGAAGCATTGGGAGGGGTATTGCAAACATAGGTTCCAGGTTGAAAAGTATATGTCATATTCTGAGTCAACCCTTCGTTGTTCCCGAACTGGTTTCAAATTTGGTGCAGTTCCTAGGTGAAACTTGTGATTTATTTTGAATTTTTGCAAGTTTAATCTTTTTGAGAATGTTCTTTTTAATGGTTTAGATTTTTATAAACAAATTATTGGAATTTCACAAGGTAATTCCTTTTCTGGGGCTTTTGCCAACATTTTTTTGAGGCTAAATTTCTTGAACATAAAGAACTTAATGCTTTCCGATACATTGATGATTTGATTTTGTTTAATTGTGATGATTATAATTTTATTTATAGTATTTATCCTGGTGATTTGGTCCTGAAAAAAACTAATGAAAATTGTTTTAATATTGAATATTTAGATTTTAAAATTGATATTGTTAACAATTTTATTAAAATTGGTGTGTTTGATAAAAGAAAAGCCTTTAATTTTAATGTTATTTTTTTCTGCAACTTTAAAACTAATTTGTGTAGTAAAATATTCAAAAATCTTGTTTTTTCGCAATTAGTTAGGATCAAGAAAATTTGTAATAATGTTGAAAGTTTTCGGGAAGCTGTGGATAATTTTTTAAATAATTTGAGTAAAAATGATTTTCCTTTTAATTTTTGTAATGTTAATTTTTTAATTAAAAAAATGATTGATGGTTTTTAAGTTTTTATATAATTTTTTCTTTTAACAGGGCGCAATTCTAGTCTTAACTGAGCAGCCCCAGTTAAGCATTCTATTAATTTATCTACGTATCTCCTTCTCCTGACCTTTTCATATCATTTTTAAACTTTTACTGCGCATTATTATAGGGGGCGTTGTTTTTCAGTTTTTAGTGTTTTCTTTTCCTCCGCTTTTGAAGTTGATTCTTGACCTGTGACTGTGAGTTTTTAATTTTCTGATGATTTTTATTGATTTTCTTTTCGTAATTTGTTTATTCTTTTGAATGTATCTTGTTTTTCCTGGACCTCTATACAAAACCATCGGGGTACTGAGGGAGATATTTTAAGCTTTTGCTTCTCCCTCAAATAGAAATGGTTTTGTTTTTAATGGCTACCGAGGCCGGTACCCCCTGAAGACGTCGGCTTCGGTGGTCATATTTTTATTTTTATTTCATTCGTTTCTTGTATTGATACTTTTTTCTGAAATTTCTGCTGCTTATTAGCACGTTTTTTTCAAATAAGTTTTATCCTTTTCGAATTTAATTATTTGTGTTTTCTTACAGTACTGAAAATATATCTTTTCTTTAATTTTCTAAACTTCTTTTATTTAACATTCTTTTTATTGTTTTCTTTGTTTACATATATACCCTAGCAATAAACATAACATTTACGAATCTTGGCTCAAAGGGTCGTTCTTTTTCTAATATTGACTCCAAATAGAATTGTTCGATTCACCCGATATTTTACAACCAATATAGGCCATTCTAGGACCAATGTTAAAAATCTAACTATCCCAATATTGTTCTCTCGGTGTTGTTCTCAATATTGTTCTTATAGGATCCATATTATTAAGCCAATTTTCAGCCAAAGGAAAAATTGTTGCTAGGGAATATATAGATAATGTTTGCTAATTCTCATCTTTAAAAACCTTTAAGGCAAAAAAATACCTTTACTTTTGTTAAAACACTGTACATTTGATACTGTGGTAAAATATAGACCATAACACCTTGGCTGAAACAAGTTCTTTGTTATTAAAACAAGCACAAGGAATAATAACAATAAAACAATTGTCTTTTACAGTCAAAATACTATGTAGCATCGAAATAATTTGATTATTAAAAGTTACAGAAAATTTCTTATGGAAGAAAAATCCTGAATAACAATTAAAATTATTGCAATTAAGTTTAAAAAAAACTTAATACCAATCAAAAAACTAAGTGCTACATTTATTATTTTTAAAAAATACTATTCTATTATTTTCACAAATTTTGTTAAAATTTTAATGTGGTTGCAAACTGCTAAAATAAAAAATAGAGAAAAAAAATTAAAACAGGAAATGACCAAAGCAGCTTAACAATTTTACGAAATTTTATGTTTAATAAAAGATTGCCACATTCAACAAAATACTATAACAAACCTTTAAAAAAATTTTTTTTTGTAAACCAATAGTTTTGGCAGCTAGTGAACCAACAGAACAAGTTTAGAATACAAAGAGATTCCAATAAACTTATTATGTAATGTAATGGATCAGTGTCCTCCCACATGATAAGATTTTTGTTTAAAAAAAATCGTAATTATAAGAAATACTGAATTAAAAATATTTGATTTAAGTTATTTTTGTTATTGTTTTGATAAAATGTTATTGAATGATAAAAAAATATATTACACATATCAAATTTTATTCATACATCTCTTTACAAGTATAGTAAATACAAGTTACAATAAAATATATTGTTCGAAAAGCTCTGTAATCTCACAAAATAGTTACATAAGCAAATGATATTATACAAAGCACCATTTTCTTTTCTGAACAAAGTAATATTGCACAATATCTATGATGCAGACATATGAACTGACTTAAATCTGTTTGAAACTTTCAAGAATAAAATTTAGGTTTCCTTACAGCATTTTTTGGGGGGGCTTTACTGCAACATTGCAAAATATATATAATACAGTGAAACCTGCATAAGTTAATCACTTGCAATACATTGCTTTAGTCATTTCTTACATCATTATATATAGTATCTTGTTATCTATGTTGTTCATACATTTCTTACACATTACAAAATAAATGCCTAAAAGCAAAATTAATGGAGAAGTGGAACTAATTCATTTGAGAATAAGCATAAAAAAAACAATATTATCATTGAAATCAATGATAATTAATTTCGGTAAATTACTAACTAAAGTAAAATACTAAGCTATGTACTAAAAGGCAAAAATTAATGGAGAAATGTAACTCAGTTCGGTTAAGAGAGCGTAAAATAACGGCAAACTATTATATGCGTCAATGACGATTAATTAATTTTGGTAATAGGTACTAATTGAAACAAAAAATAAGCTATGAACTAAAAAGAAAAATTACTGGAGAGAATGTACTTATTTGTTACAGGATATCATAAGAATCATCATACTATTAATGGCACCAATGATGCTTAATTTTGGTAATTGGATACAACTGGCATCATGGTTATTGGTTCAGTTTTAATAGGTACCAAATATATAGATACAACATATTTTAGAGTGAATTTGGTGCGATTACAGCTGCACCAATACTGTACATTTTTATGATAGATTTCTTACAGCTCAAAGATATAAGTACACGAGAAAGCAGTATGGTTTTGGTAAATTATAATATCATAAGTTGCCTTTAGCCAGATGATGCTGAATATAGTTAGTCTTTATTTTGATGGAATGAACAATTAGAAATGCGTTTGGCTTAATCAATTTACCTAAAGCCACTGAGGAGGGCAACAAATAATAAATAACTAAAAAACAGTGGAATCATTTTCCTTCATTATTTGTGTTATTTGTCTGACAACTTTGTGCGCGATTTTGTAGTGTTGTTCAGCTGGTATAATGGATTATTGATTGGATTTAAATATAATTAAAGTTTTCAAAAATCCTTACAGGTTAAACAAAATTCCTAATTTACGGAACTCCTTTAACACTAAACAGAACTCTTCGGCTCAACAGAACACCACTTGAGAACCGTTAGTTTAGAAAAACATTCACTAACACTCCCAGACAAATTTGACTTATTTTAGCAGAAAACATAGACAAGTGGTCATGTTATAAAGGTTTTGGTCCTTTTTATTGAATATTACGAATTTAGTTTTTTTTAAAAAAGTGGTCAACTTAGAGAGGTGATCAACTCGACAGGTTTCAATGTAATACCAGCATATAAATTCACTTTTTTTCTTTGAAACCTCATAGAATAAAATTTAGGTTTCTCTTCTCAGCAACATTTTTTTCATCACAAACAAAAGATTTTAAATGAGGTTCCATTTCTCTGTAATGGTGTAACTATGCAAAATGCACATAATACCACATCATACAAATCCAATTTTATTCTTTGAAATCTCAAAGAGAAAAATTAAGGTTTCTTCACAGCAAATTTTTTTTATCATAAACAAATGATAAACAGCACTCCGTTTTTTTTTGGAATTGGTGTTACTGAAAATACATGCAATACCAACAAATAACTTTTCAACATTAACTTTTTTTCTTTGATACCTCAAAGAATAAAATTAAGGTTTTCTTCAAAGAAACATTTCTTTTTTATCATAAACAAATGATTTTAAATAAGATTTAATTCCTCTGTAATAGCGTAACTCTGTAAAATACATATAATACCACAACATATAAATTCAATTTTTCTTTTGAAACCGCAAAGTGTAAAATTTGGGTTTTTTCACAGCAACAATTTTTTTTATAAGCAAATACTTTTAAATATTATTCTATTTCTTTGTAATGGTGTAACTCTGAAAAGTATGTATATTACCAAAACAGATAAATTCAACATTTTCTTTGAAACTTTAAAGTGTAAAATTTAGGTTTTTACACAGCAACATTTTTTCTTTATCACAAGCAAATGATTTAAACATTAATCCATTCTCTTGTAAATCCATTCTCTGCTAAGTTACCACAACATTTAAATACAACAAACGTTTTTTTGAAACCTCAAAGTGTAAAATTTTGGTTTCTTAACAACAATCTATAGATTATAAACAAATGATTTTCAACAATGTTCCATTTTTACAATACATATAATACCAACATATAACTTTTCAACAATCACATTTTGTCTTTGAAAATTCAACGAATAAAATTTGTTTTTTCACAGCAATATTGTTTTATCAATCATAAACAAATTATTTCAAACAATGTTCTATTGTTTTTCATAAAGGAGTAACTTTGCCAAATATCCATAATGTTAACTAATAAACTCGCTTTTTAGCTTCAAAGTGTAAGCATTAACTAGGCCAATTTGGTAGTCAATTTAACCTTAATTTATTGACATAAATCTGAAAGGGCTGACTTTGATAGACCACTTTAAACAGTTTCATTGCAGATATAAGCAAGTAATTATTCATGATACAATTGGTAGTTTCCTTTGAATAGACTTCAAAAGCAGACCATAAAAATCTGTTCCCACAAACTATCTTGTCTATTGCTCTAGAATATCTATACATTTTCAGACAATAGAAGAAACAGATAAAAGGATTTCATCTACATTATTCATGAAATTATACCTTTTTTCCATTTATTTAATTGTTTTGTTATTATTCTATCAAGCTTTGCTTACTTTGAATACTTTTACATATAAAAAAGAACTAGAGTTTAGAATAAAAATATTATTTAGATTTTCTCAGAATAACAATTTTAATTTAATTAACCAGAAAAATGAAGAATTTAAATTACTAAAATATTAACACTTTTAATCATTTGGTAGGGAAATTCTAAGGTTTTTTATAGGTCAAATAACCAATGTTCAAATATTAAAAAAGTTTACTATATGTAAAATACAACACTTTTCAAGATATAGAAACAAATACAGACATTTTGTACACAGTGGCAAAGAAAATGTGGTTTAAAGATAAATCAAAAGGAAAAAAAATTAATTACTTCACATATTTTGTACTTACTGTATCTTCACATATATAGACTGTAGCGAGGGAGAAACTAGTGACGTTGTTATCAAATTATTTTTCTCTCCTAAACAATTTTGGAAGAACAAAAATTATCTCACTCAAAACTAAATTAAGAATATTCAATAGAAATGCATTGAAATAGATTCAAAAAGTTTACTACTTTTAAAAGGTTAATAAAAAGTTAGAAAGAGATAATGGCTATGAATTGATAAAGCCAGAATAACAAAGTAAAACACGAGTTTGTTTGGAATCCTTAGGAAAGAAGAAAACCAAAAACATCTTGTAAACAAAGAAGGTATAGTTAAAAATATCATAACTCACAATAATACAAAATTTAGAAATAAAAGTCAGAAAATTATATACCTAAATATTGGACTTAAAATAAAATAAGGGGAATGCATTTTGGTCCTATTATCTACATACAGATCAAATAGTCACTGTACTTATTACAGCAGATAAAGGTGCAAGTCAACATTTTAAACCTATCCACTAATTACATGTTAAAAAAAAAGATTCCATCAATAAATATATATCAGTACAAATTTATGTAAATTCCTTTAAAATGTAAAAATTCTCATTTAAAGAGTTAAATTGTTATTTAAAAATAGTATATTGAAATTTGGGAGATTTTTCAGCTGTATTGTACAATGATTTGAATCAACAAGCTCTAAAATAGGTCACCTCAAGAGGATCTTCTATGAAGAAACCCATTCACCGAAACAAATTGTAAATCAATGAAATTTCAGATACCATGTAGAATATGCAGGGTTGCTCCTTAAATAGATGAACAAAATTCCCTGTCTTTTCCAGGTTTTCCAGACATATTTTTAAAAAATCCCAGTCTGAAATCCCAGTAGATACAGACAGTGCTGTGGTCAAAATATAAAGTGAACCACAAAAAATTTATATTAATAATTTATACATTATACTGCATATTAAATTTCAATTAAAAAAATATAACACACCACGATACAGAGAAAAAAATGGTGGAAAAGACAAAAGAAATATATCATATATAAGAGGAAAAAAATATTTTTAAAAATAATAACATTTTGTCTCACTAAGTCAACACAATAAATAATTTTTGCTCAAATTCTGCAATTTGGCAGTCAATGGCAGATGCTTCTGACGAAAAACCCTTGATTAATTTTTGTTTAATTTTATATTCCTGTTTAGTTTAATTTCATACTTTGTACCTGTATGATTTGAACAATGCAAAAATGAATAAAAGTGAAATTTTAAAGAAAAAAAAGATGCATCTTGAATCATGTAAATTAAAACAAAATGCTATTTTTCTATGAAGAGATGAAATTAAAATAAATATTCCCACTTAAATAAAAAAACATAATTATTAAAGATTAACTTGCTACTAATATGTAATGCAAATTAAACAAAAAGTAAACTTAGTTTATCTAAGCTTTCACCAGATTCGATAATAATTTTTTATTTTAACTTTAGCAGCAGCACTTGATACTTATATCATTTGCTGGAGCATTTAAACACCCCATGCAAGTATACTGAGAGAATAAATATTGAACATAGATTAACATCTAACATAAAAAGATTATAAGCATTTAAAACATTAGAGCATTAAAAACATTAGAACATAGATTAACAATTGGAAACGTGATTTTACGACAGCATCATCAGGAATCGAATGCATCTGAAATCAAATTCGATATTTGCATATTAATAATATCGGAGTTTGGAAAACTTTGTGGAAAAAGCTAAAAAATGGTGAATGAAAAACGAAAAATTATCCTTAAACGTGGCGAAGTTATGATAGAATTAATCACGAATTGCATCAAATTCAAACGAAGTAGTGAGAATTTGAAAAACTATGTAAAAAGGGTCGACTGCCGAGAAAACTATTACCAAGCATCATGACATTAAGATTGATTAAAACGTAATGAATCGAACACGTCAGAAAGTGATAACTGGAAATTGAAATTCGCACATTGCAATATAACACCATAATAATAATACCTGAATTTGAAAAGCTAGGTCTACAGAATCGAAAATATGATTAATAACTTATGAAAACTATCATCAAACTGACCGTGACAAAAAGTGATGTTGCAAAATCAAAAAGTAGTAATAACATATCGGAAAAAGAAAAACCTTGTTAAAGGAGCCGAAAAAATTATTAATAAATGCTGATGAACAATCAACTAATGACGTAAAATTATGATGGAATCGTCACAAATTGAACGTTTCAGAAAAAGTGACAGCTCAAATTTGAAATTCTCATGTCGTAACAATGTATTAAATGTATAGGAATCAAATTTGAAAAACCATATGGAAGCAGCTGAGAAACGATCGGACAAACACGTGGACTTGAAAAAAATGAATAAAAAATAGTTACTGGTAAAACTAAACGTTCATCAATTTTTAGAAAAATAAATACTAATTACTATTTTTTACAAAAATAGGCCCTAAAATTACAACCTGGATCGATCTCAGAATATTATAGTATAGCATTACAATTTTCAAGTGGAACAGCAATTCCCATGCATCCCAAGAGCTCTTAATAATGAATTTAATTGAATTCATTATTTCAAACCTTGGCGATAGAGGATTAAGAAAATTATCAATAAAAAACATTAATAAGAGAAAATTAAACCCTATTTATCCCAATAAATTTTTTAATAAAAAATAAGAATAGACAATCTGAAGTATATCCATCCTTCTACCAGTTATGGATTCTAGCTACCTAAACGCTTTCTCAATTGAAAGTTTCTTAAATCACAAGAACACAGCATGCTATGGTTCTGTGAAATTTGGCTCTAGCCAAATCACAAAGGTCGCCAAATCAAGCTCTCTGACTTTTCCAGATTTTGGCTGAAAAATGTTAAATTCCTTAACTTCTCCTGATTCTCCAGGTTATACAAATATACTTTGATAAGCAAAAATATGAATAAAAACATTTTTCTCCCTACATTTCTCACTATTTTTCAAAAAAATTATTCATATGTGTGATATGGGTGTTTGCTTCATTGGCTCCTCCAAAACAACAAAGGAGTTTCATGATGGGCTTGCCAACCCATTAGTGGGTGTACACAACAGAGTTGAACTAACACTACATAATATTACAGCCTAGGAATCAGTAAAAACAATGATCTTATTACAAACTGGACATTGGACACACACACATGAAAAATAAATTAGGATGTTTGTTTTTTCTGCACATCAAGGACTTAAATGGAATGTATTTCCTGTTTGAGGTCATCTTGGCTATAATAAGAAATGCCAACATTAGCAAACAAAATTTATTTCATCTGAAAGAAAATATGAATTAAATACATTAAAATTAAGAAAACTGATTGTTTTCAGGAAACAGTACTTATCATAGTCAATTGTGTTTACTATTTATATTTAAATATGAAAATAAATTAAAAAAAATATTGGATCAACATGCTATTTTAAAAAACCTTTAATTCACAGACATAATTAATATGCTAAATTAATATTAATTGTAAAATAGGAACAGTACTACGGGTAGGGAAAAAATTTAATTCATTAGCAAGGAATTAACATCAACTTAAAATGAAATTCTTTATAATTGCTCAGAAGTATTTGAAAAAATAATGGAGAAAATAAATATCTGACTTAAAAAAACAAAATAAATTTAAAGAATGAAAGAATATGCTTTAAATTTGAAAGTTATAATTCAAATTGTTATTGTTGAAAGAAATAGTTTACCTTCATGTTCAATAGAGAAAAATATTTAATTCATTACTAAGGCATTAACATGAATTTTATATCACTTAGGAACTTTTTAAAGATGGTTATTTCTAATTAAATTCCTGCCTTTTTTTACTGAAACCATGACTCTGGAAATCCCCTTTTATCTGTTTAAAAAACCTTCATGACAAAAAAAGCTTTTGAAGTTACAGCTGCAGGGAAGCAGAATATGCCCAAATGCGCGAACGAGGTTTGGAAGAAGTTTAGACAGCCAAGGGAAAAGTTTGGTCTAATTAAATTAAAATTTGTTGCAAAAAATATATGTCACCTTGATACCATTACAGGCCTTACATGTTTCCTAGCTTTAAAATTTTTATTATATCCTAAACTTATTAGCATTTTTTAATCATTCCGAATCCCATTCTAATTATATTAAATCACCTATTTAATTCTTATCCTTTTTTCATTAAAAGCGAATATAAATATTTCTATTCTTTTCTTTTTTTCAATAAATGTAACGCCCAACTTCATTCAATGCAAGTGTATAACTAATTATAATTCAATGTCATGACAAAATGAGTATCAGATTTTTTTTCCACACTTAGTTTCTTTAAGCTGCTTTATTTTTTCTTTAACCAAATAAAAGTTTCAAGGTTGCATTAAATACTAATAATCTTTAATTTGTAAGCCAGATTATTTTAATTTAATGTTAGTTGGCGTTGTTTTTGGCTGTTATTTCTCAATAACTCACAAATAATGGATCTCTTCTCATACTCCCAAGTGTTGGTTTGAAACTACACATAAACTTGTCTTTTTTTCAAAAAAAATGTTGGAATTAGGACTAGGGGGGGGGGTTGAGATGTCCCACGGCCCCTTTGTTACTCGTTGGATTAGTTTAAAAATAAAATCATTTCTATGAACACTATTTTTCGCTTAAAAGTATTTTATTTTATAACCGTCGTTGAACAGCCGATCCCATTTTATGAGTTTACGACTACTAATGTTCAACTCCATAGCCTTGTAATTTCGAACCAAACTTAAAAGACAAGGGAACTCCTGGATCGAGTATTGGGAGAAATTTAGATTCGTGGAGGACTTTTTCATGGAGCTAACCCGCATTTGCTTTACATGGAGAGGAAGACCACAAGAACCTCCCACGGTTAGCCTGAGGACAAGGGGACTCTAACCCATGATCAGTCTACCACAGAGGATATTTCACGTCAGCACTGTGGTTGGCGAAAGCCGGATGCGGAATTCATATCCACTGGGATTGGAACCCAGTTCGCTGCATTGGAAGGCGAACGTTCTATCCTTTGAGCCCTGCAGCTCCTTTTTAAAGTATTGTGATGTTTAACCCACTGGTGGTTAAGGAAATGGGCAAAATTAGGAGAATGTTTCTCTTCTATACACTATTCCCTTATCCATTAGCATGGATAAACCGGTTTTGCAATGCAGAGAAGACTGCAGGTTAAAATGCGACTTTTTACGTGCAGAAACGTCAGTGGGTTAAAAAAAATAAGAGAGAATTGGGTTCAGTTTTTAAAAAAAAGAAATTTTGAGCTCCTGAAGAGAACAGTATCTTTAGAACAGCCAGTGTAAAGATAATTTTTTTTCCACGTAACTCGCTGAAATAAAAGAATAGCCATGATATTTTTGCTCATTTCTCTACGAATTATAAAAACGATAAAATTTTAAGATCATTATTATTTAGACTTAACGGTCGCTTTAGGAAATTTTTTATTGTAAAAAAAAACAGAAGTATAAGTGTTTCCGTTAAATACTGAACATCCAATATATTTTTTTTTCAATATGGAAAATCTGCTATTACCTGTATCGATAATTTTTATTTTTTATTTTTAAGAAAAATTAAAAACTTAACTTCTTCAAAGAAAATTATTATTTTTTTATTATCTATAACAATGCAATTTTTTGATGCTCTTAACGAGTAAAGAGGTATTAACGCAATTTGTGAAATAGACGTCAGGATTTGCGTTAAATTGGTTTAAGAATCACCATAGTGATTTACGATTAATATTCACGTTTTATTAGTATTATTATAATATTATATGTGATAAATTAAGATTAATTATTACATGTGATTTCATGCATTTTAAAATTACATACTTTGATCCATTTTCACGCGAAATACAGTGATTTGTTTTCAAGAAAAAAATACAGTGATTTGTTTTCACGCGAAATATCGTGATATTTTGCGCTATTTATGTGATTTGAAAATTACACATCATAATTTGTTTTCTTGAGATTTAAAATTACCCATTGCGATTTAAAAATTGCACATCATGATTAGTATTTACGCAATTTAAAAAGCCATAATTGCGACTTGTATTCCCCCGGTTTTTAAAATACATCATTGCGTTTTGCATTCACCTGATTTCAAAATCAACATCAAGTTTAAAATTTGTATGATAGTGATTTGTTTCCAAACAATTTAAAGAATTCATATATTGCGATTTGTTTTCATGCAAATTGAAATTTACATGATGTGATTCATATTCTTGCAATTTAAAATTACACATCGCGATATAAATTGATGCAATTTAAAAATCAAACACCGTATTCATGCAATTGAAAACTTCAAAATCACAAATCGTCTTCGCATGATTTTATGAATTAAATGTCGCGTTTTCTAGCTCATTTATAAAATTGAACACTTTGATTCATATACAGATAATGCAAAAAACTTTCTTTTATCTATGAGTTACTTGGAGTTATAAGCATGGTGGAGTTCAGTAGTACTTCACAAAATATGAATGCTTGTGTTTGGACAGTTTTTGATTGAAATAATAGAACAAATGAAAAGTGGAAAGCTTATAAAAGAATTTTTCCTACACTGTTCCTGAAAGAAACGACATAATGCTTTTTAATTGATAAAAATCATTAAAGAACAAGTCGTACCACAGCAAATCAAAATGAAAGGTGCCAGGTAGAAACCTTTACGAATTTTAGAAAAAAATAAGATATTTTTTTATTCAATTTTTTTACTTGAAAAACTGGAGAAAAGAATTTAAGAACTAGAAATCATCAAGCATATGTGGCTTCAGTAGCATATTCAAGTTTCAGCAGCTTGTTACTTTATTATTACCTTCATTAATCCATATAGAGTTTAAAAATCATTCAAAAATTGTACAAAATGCAATTTTTTTTAAAGAAAATATAATTATCAAATACTTAGAATATTATAATAATGTATCAACTTTATTTTCTAAAAATATTTTGAAAAAATTAAAGCACTTAAAAATTAAACTATAATTTTGAGGGAAGATTTCAAACAAACAAAACTGTATTCTGAGGAAATATTAGGCTTTTCTGCACTTTTGATCGCTCGCATGTAATAAATTTTTACAAACTAATAGGTTCTCTGGGGTTCACGTCATTTTATGTCTTCAAAACACAATGGCATTAAAGTGACCCTGGGCATAGTGAAATAAGTAGAGGTGAGAAGTTTTTATATGATAATTGCAGGGAAAATGCTTGATGGAAATAAATTTTTTTTTTGCACTGGTTCGTATCTAGCTTATTTTAAAAATATTATCTAATATGTATAAGTACCAAGCAGTAGTTTCTTAAGAATCAGATTTATTGGAAGCTAGATCAATAGCAGATTTAATTTTTAAAATTACTCTTGGGGAGAGTGGTTATTTTCCAAAAACTCTTCTTGGCTATGTCACTAGTTGTGAAGTAATTTGAAACATTCGTTTACAATTTAAGAGCATCTAGGATGGATATAAATAATAAGTAACTTGGAATCATGATTAAGAATTTAAAAAAATTGTACATTAATTTTTTAAAACATGTCTTTAGAAAATCATTGAGACGTTATGTCGACTCCTCTTCTTCTTACCTCTGTTGGCTTAATGCTTAGATCAGGATGTGTAGCCAAATTATTCAACAAAAAAATAAGCACTTTTCAAGCACTCAAAAAATATTTTTAAGCACTTAAAAAAATATCATAATTAGGCAGGGTAGGAAAGTTTTTGACAATTGATGGTTTTATTTTGTTTTAACCGTCATGTCAAAAAAAAAAAATTAAATTGGCATTGTTTTTGACAATTGTCAAAAATTATGAAATATTGAAGCATGCGAATGGCGTTTTCATACGCTACGGACTGACAATACACCGAAATAGATTGAATTAATTGTAAGGGGTTGAATTAATTGTGTAAACGTTGAATAGAACAATGCAAACAGTGTCTTTTTGCATAATTCGTAGTGAAAATCAACATGGTAAAAAAATATCATTTTGAAAAAGGGAAAATTAAGCACTTTTTAAAAACACCCAATGAAAAAGTACCTTTTAGGGCTTTTAAAAAACGAAAATTCGAAATAAGCACTGTAGATGATTAATGTTACATAATTAGCTTATGTTTTTTTGATGAATTATTTAAATTAGAGAAATGTGCATAAAAACTAAAAACAATTGTGATTTTGTTTGATTGTTTACAAAATGTGATTTTGATCAGCCGTAATGTTTTTTTTTACTAAAAAATTATTAAATACATAGATCTTCATTATACAAGTTAATCTTTTTTATTATGACAAAGTGTGATGGCACTGGCAATATATCCAGGCTCCAATTTGAATACCCATACTCAAATAGTTACAGTAAAAAGTTTAAGAAATTATGAGTAGTTGCAACTACAGAGACAATTGCAATATAACAATATTAAGTTTGTATTTTTAAAAACATCTTCATTTATAAATATTTTTCACACAGAAAATGTAAATGTTCAAAAACCTGATATTTTCCACTTAAAAAAAAACTGTCTATTTTAAGATATTTTAAAAACTAAATGCATGAAAAATGAATGGTAGAATTTTAAACTGAACTGAAGGCATGGAAATTAAAAGATGGTAAAACTCTACAAATACAATAAGAATAAGCTTACTAATCTTGTTGAAAAATGTTTTTCCTGAGGATGATTAAGTATCCAGGATTTCCTCAAATGACCCAAGGAACTCAATTTCAATTTCCTAATAAAAGAAATAAAATGATTATATCCATTTACAATAATTCCATTATTTCTGCACCAGAATTATACAACATTAAAATGAAAAGCTACCTATGTGATAAAATTTTTAACTTAAAACCAAATTTTAATTTTTCTTTATTTTTACTTGGACATTTGACTACCCTCCAGAAACGCTTAAGAATAACAGAAGAATCTTGAGGGTGCCCCTAATGACGATCGGTCGGGAAGAAGAAAAAAAAATCAATGTTTTATTTTTAATCCTCTACTTTGCAAGTGCAAATTACGGTATTGAAAACTGAAGAATGAAATCCCACAATTAGATAGGGTATCTAATTCCCTAACAATTCTTGGTTTCGGGTAAAATTATATTTTTTAATGATAATTCCATGACTTTTTCTAATCTAGTTTCCCTAACAATTCCCGGATCATACGAACCCTGTCATTAAGAGAAATAAAACAAAACGATAAGAGTCTTTTATCACTGAGGATGTTCTAAGCAAGCACTGAGGTTGGTGCAAGACGAGAGCAGAATTTGTGTCGACCAGTTATTACTGGGATTTCCCCTAGGCATGATTTGAATAAAATTCAGTTAATTAATGAACTTATGAAACACTGAAATATAGATACAATTCACGCGAAGAAAAATCTTGAATGTTCTAATCTAGGGCCCTGTTTTTTTCCCTACATGTTTTGTATCTTTGAGACAGTTTTTTTCCCCTTTCAAATAAGGCATCTTCTTTAAATAGTCAGACTCAATTACAAGTCTGCCAGTTTTAATAGAACTTTCTGATCAATTTTCTCCTTTTCAAAATTTTTTTTTCAACACTAAATGCTTAGTATCTTACACATGATCATAAGTAAGCCTCATGTGGTTTTATACAATATCCTGAAATAAAAAAAGAGCCAGATGTAAAAGTTAAAACTAGCAAAGGACCAAAAGGTATAAGAATAATTCTATACTTATTAGCTTTTATAGAACTTATAACAAAAATAGATTGATTTGCAAAATTTTTTGGTTTAAAAGAAACATTCTTTTGATAAAATAGCATTATTGAAAAACTTTTAGACGTCTACATCTGCATAGCATTGAAAACCTTAATAGTTAAAAATTTATAAAGGGTTCATCTCAATACATAGAGGTTATCTTATTAAAATTAAATGCACTAATTTAAAAACAAATGTACTAACTTCTAAAAGCACACTTTTTAAAAAAATATATATACCAACCTCATATTCATACTCGATCTCTTTCCCACTCCAGGAAAAATCTTCAGAGCACATACTGCATACCATATGATCACAGCCACCTTTTTTGATAATAATTATCTGACATTTAGGACACCTTTTTGCCTTTTGCTTTTTTAACAATTTCTGTAAATAAATAAATACAAATTGCAATAAATTTCAACAATTATTTTTAAAGGAAAAATTTATAAAATGTAAATATAAAAAAAAACTTGATTTTTGTAAAAAACATTTTAGTTACTATTCATATCATATGATAAAATTTATAAATCAGGAAATTTACGTAGTTTTGGGAGAGGGTATGTGGGAAGAGCTTGCAAAAGAGAACAATGATATAAGAGTCCATGATTCCGGAGTGTTCAGACATGCTAATAATGACATAATTAGTTTTATTCTTAAGACATTCAGAATCTATGCAAACCCCCCAGAAAACATTTTATTACTTCTCTAAAAGAACTAATTAAGTTATTTTTTAATAAAAAAAAGTTTACCTTTATTTTCAGATGAAATCGGACTCACATGACTTCCCACAAAATGAAGTCACTTATGTTCATTTGCAGTTTGACTACAGTGGCAGTGCATTAAAAGACATTGCATTCGAGTTGTCATTTGAATTTCCATAATTCATATACAACTGTTTTAGATTACAAGTAAATATATTTTACAAAAATATGTAAATTTATTTATGCCCTAATGTAGCTTTGAGTAAATGTGGGCTTTAATGAACTTTAATAATATCGTTAAAATTCAATGATACCCATTGAACTATTTTCTTAAGTTGACAAAATTTTTTAGTTCTGAATATTTAAGATTTTTTAATTCAATAAAAAAGGTGTAAGAATGAGTTATGGATAACTGAGATTACTTACTCATATGGTGCTTTATAAAATCAAACTAATTTTATTCTGTCATTTCCTTAGCCATTTTATTTTTTTATTTATTACTAAGTTTATTTTTTCATTTCTTTTGTTTTTCATTCTAAAGAATGCTTTAAGTTTCTGTTCGGAAGAGTTATTTTTATATTATAAAATCTTTTTAGTGAAAGAAATGTTGAATAATTTTTTTATAGAACAGTTTTAGATTTAAAAAATGTAAAAAGAAAAGTTTTTCCTTAAAAAAATTTATTACAGCCAGAATTTAATAGAGAATTTTCTACAGGATAACAACAGAAGACCTTTTAAAAAATTTGCGATTTCAAAGTTTTAACACACTTGTAAAAAAAAAAATTCTTTTAAGGTAAAGGAGTTGAAATTAATATATTGCTGTAAAATTTATGAACTTTATTTTAATTGCATTAATCTATGTTAGAAAAGTATTGAAACCAAGTACATATATTTATCTAAGGTCAAACTCACTATTCAAAATTTTCACATCAGGAGAATTTAGGTTTTGTATCAGAAAAAACTCAGTTTTTATCCAATAAAATTTTTTTTTGTAGCTTAAAAAAAAACAATTTTGTAGCAGATAGACACTAATAGCATGGTAAATAAAAGTTTTTTTTTTTTTGAGGTACATCAAAAAATTTTTTTAACAAAATAAAACAAACAAAAGTTCAATAATAATTTCATTTTTAATTTTCCCAGAAAAAAAAATCTCAAGATTTCTCCAAAATTAAAATTGCATTTTTTTGTAAGTTTATATTTAAATAATAAACTATTTTTTTAATACATTAAATTACGATAATAGAAAGTGTATGCAAATTTTACAACTAATAATAATAATAAAAAGAACATGAAAATTTTATCCAACAAATTTATGTTTATGAATTTAACTAAATTCAATGAAACTCATATCATTAAAAAATAATTGTAGCAGAAAGACATGTGATTGCTGGCAGAAAAAATTATTTAAAAACTGGCTAGATAGTCTAACTTTCAAACTAAATAATTTTTTCCTCAATGCATAGCTTATTTATTTAATTTTTGGTACACGAGAGATTATTTCTGTTCGATTTAATGAAAATATATATAGACTATCATTTTTATATGCAAAAGTAACATTAATAAATTTTATAGGTAGAAATGAAAAACTTCTAGCCAATAAATTTTTTTTCTTATTAACACATAAAAAATACATATTCATACATAAAAGAATATGTATTATGACTGGTATGCCCAAATTTTGAAGAAGAAAAAAATCACATTTTCAGACGTGTCATCATCGCATTAAAAAAAAAAACGGTATTTTAAAATCCATGGTAAAAACTAAAAGACTAACTAGAAAACCGCGTGGATTTACAATCATCATCAAATAATTGCATAAAATAGTAACTACTCAAATTCGCAATTTGGATTTCCTATATCATATAGAGCATAAGCAGAAAAAACATAATCATAAGCACTTCCAAATTTTTTTAGAACCCTTAGCTTCCTTATCAATATCACAAACTCTATGATTTAATTTTAAAGCTGTATTGAATTTGAGTTATTGAGTATTAAACAAAAGCATCTGAAAAGTTGCAAAAATAAGATTAATAGAAAGAGACATTACTTCCAAATATTTTTTAGTTCTTTTTGCTTCCTTATCAGTTTCAGAATTAAAAGTAACAAAATCTTGATACTGCTGACAGTTCTGTCCTTCATGAATTGCTGCACAGGTAAGACAATTGGTTTTTCCACAGACTGAACATAGAAAAAAGTTTACACTATCTTCATACAAACACCATCCAGGGCAATCAACTGTTTTGCAATGAAAACTATCCTCAGCTTGAGTTTCAGCAAGATTTAAACTCTTTTGGAGATATTTTTCAAATATTTCCTTTGTGACTAGCTGAAATTTAATAATACATAAATTAAACATTTCAAGCAGAGTAACACATTAAAATATTTCTTTCAGAGAACAATAAATCTGTTAACATAAATTTACTATGAAATTCAATAAAGTAATGTATTATTATAATTACTAACAGATTTAACTTCTCGATCTTGAAGATTGCTTCCACAAGCATACTCATCATTATATGGACATCTAACTAATGCTGTTTCAGAAAACTCAATGAGTGTGGCAAGACATCGCCTAGAGAAACAAAATGTAAAAGAATGCTTAGTAATAAAATATTAACTAAATTGCAATGTTATAAGAGAAATCATTATTTTTTTTTTGCATTGTATCTTACAAACTTTTAAATATTTTTTTTCTGAAATGCTTAGTAGCAACATGAAACTAATATACAAAAATTATAATATAAAGTCTAGTGTGAATATCGGGTAAAATAATTTTTTATTATGAAATTAACTGGACTTATTAATTGTAAATTGTTTTCACACAAATACCTATTTCTTTCTTTACTTAAAAACCTCAAAAAAGAGTCAACCACGAAAGTTTTTTTCTTCTTAAAGTATCTTTATAAATTCTTTTTTTCTTTTCACTTTTTTCAATTATTTCCAGATTACTTTCAGTTCAAAATTAATAATTTACTCTGAAATTTAAATCCTAATTTTAGCAAATAGCTATAGTAAAATTTGTCAGTGTTAAGGGAGAAAGTAAAAAATGAACTTAAATTTGATGAAAACCAGTTCTTCCTTCTTTTTTTTTTTTAAAGTGAAGGCTTAAAGATTTTGTATAATATATTTTAAACAGAATACTCATAAATGACTTCATACTTGCAAAAGCTATGAAGACAATCATGAAGAATAACTCCTTCATCTCTCACAATAATTTCAAAGCATATCTGGCACTCAAAAGGTTCTGTATTTAAAACAAGATCTTCAAAATCCAAGCATGCTAGCATCTCATACTCATGGGTTCCATTATCTGTTCTTGTTCTGGGAAATTTAGCCTGTCAAATTAAAATACATAAAACACATAGAAATTTAACTTATTATAAATTTCAATCAAGCAAAAGCATACATGTAACTTAAACAATAAACTATTAAGTAAATAGTAATTTAAAAATTACAAGTTTTTAACTTAACATTTATGTTATTTTAGCATTTATGAAACATTTAACATTTATGAAATTATTTATTTGGATACTACAATATCCCAGATACAAGCCCACTAAAAATTTGACTGTTATAACTTCAGCAGATTGAAAAATGGAAACTGAAATGTACTTATATAAATATGAGGGCAAATAAAAAAAAAATGAGAAGTTGTAAAAATAAGAAGAAACATAAGCCGGGTTATAAGTTTCAAATTTTTTACCCATTTTATTTGTTTCCTTATCAACATCATTAAACATTTGTATTAGTCTCATCATTAACATTATAATGAAATATTATTTTAATATCATTTTTATTAATTTAATACTGTTTTAAAAAGAATTTATTTCAAATTTGCATTATATTAATAAAGGTAGAGTTTAAAGTCTATATAATTTGAAAACATCAACACAAGTATGCAAAAAAAGATGAAATATAAGTATCTGTGAAGTTGTAAAAATAAGACTAATCATGAACAAAGACATTACTTCCAAGTGTTTTTCAATTCTCTCTGCTTCCTCGTCAGTATCAGAATTAAAAGCAAAATAACCTTGATACTCTTCGCAGTTCTCTCCTACATGAATAGTTGCACAGATGAGACAATTAGTTTTTTTGCAAACTGGACACAGAAAAAAGTTTACACCATCTTCGTACAAACACCACCCAGGGCAATTGATTGTTTTGCAATGAAATCTACCACGTGATTGTCTTTCTGATTGATATATGCTTTTTTGATGAGATTTTTTAAATATTTCATTTGGAACCAGCTGAAATTAAGTAATAAAAAATTAAACAGTGTATGTACTGAAGAATATCAAAATTTTCATTTATAAAGCAGAGAATTTATTAAAAATTATTTTGCTATGACAATCAATAAAGTAATGGTTTCACTAAAATTACTAACAGATTTAATTTCTCGTTCTTGGAGATAACTTCCACAAGCATATTCTCCATTATATGGACATTTAACCAGGGCTGTTATAGAATCTTGTATAATAGAAGCAAGACACAGCCTAGAGAAGAAGAAAAAATTCAAGGCCTGCTTATTAATAAAATACTAATAAAACTTAGATATAATCAAGAATTAGGTGTTTGTCTTGCTCTTTACCTTACAAAAACTAAGTTTATTTAGTGAAGATTCACAGTTTTCAAACACAAATGCTTTGTACCAACATTAAATTAGTATACAAGAATTAAGTATATTTTTAGACTACTGTAAATAGTGTGTTTAACTATATATATATATATATATATATATATATTTACACACTNTATATATATATATGAACTTAATTTTTTTTTTAATTTCTTGATGTGTTTAATTATTTCCTCACAATTATCTCAGAATTTAAAAAAAAAAAAAATTTGAGTGATTATATTTTTATTTTATCTACCGTTCACTTTTTTCAGATTTATTTAAATTCTTAATCAATAATTATACACAAATAGTTAAGTCATTAATTTCAGTTCATAGCGATTGCAAAATATGTCAGTATTTTAAATAAAATACACTGCTTTCTGTTATAAAAATTAACTACTTTTTGTATTTTTATCAAAATGTTAGCATATCTAAATAAATTAAACATTGAATGGAAAATCAGTTATCATCTATGGCAATAAATACATTATTTACGGTAACTAAGCCTAATGTGATAAAAATGTGAGTGGTGAAATCAACAAAACCTTAGATTAAAACACAATTAATTAAAGGTTAGGTTACATATTCAGAAGTATGTTTGACAAGTTAATATTCCATTTTATACTTTTTTACTGAAATTTTATGCACTATAAGGATGAGGTTCGACTGTATAACTCAATTTAAAATAATTGAAAATAAAAAAGAACTTATACTAATAATATCAATAACACTTTATGCAGGATCTGATTTCTGAGCTAGCTGTCTTCCAAGATTAAAAACATATTTAATAGAATAATTCGCCAATTGCTATTAAAAAAGTACAACAAATGATTTATTTACAGATTTTAAATTATGCTTTCATTTGTGAAGCTTGTTACAACAATGCTTTTAGATACCGTTGTATCTAAAACTAATTTTTTATTATCATGTAAATAAAGAGGTTGCCTGGTTGAGAAATTAAAAAAAAACAAACAGATAAATAAAAAAAACTGATCTATTTTAAGAAGATTTAAACTAGTTGTTTTCTGCTTCTAAAATACATGAATAAAAATTCATGAAAAAAGGTTGGATAATATTAACTAGGTAATCTAGCTGTTGGGAATCATTTCAAATCCCACTTTTCTTATACACGAGTTATCAGATAAAGAGAACATTTTTAAACAAGCCTACAAATTAAAAAATATGCTGGTCACAACTGTTTTTCAATTTGTAGTGCTGGTGATGATTTATAATGCTGATGATAAATTTTAAGAAGTTGTTTATACAATAACCAAGTCTCAAATAATACCAGCATTATTTAAACTTTTCTAGTAATGATGAAGCAAATAGGATACATGACAAGCATGCTGATTTTCTTATTCACTGCATCAATAAAAAACCAATGAAGAATTTAAATACTTTATAATTTAATACAGCTAGATAAAATTAAACAATACAAGAGCAGTGAGTTCCACAAATCAACATTTTCTCTATCAAAAATTTAATTTTACTCAAATACTACTAATACAATACTTATTTATTTGGAAAATAATTTATAGACAAGCAAATTAAAATCTGCAATATGGAAATACTGCATGAAAATTCGAAATTTATCATACTTGCAAAAGTTATGGAGACAATCATGAAGAATAACTCCTTCATCAATGGGTATATTCAAGGAACAGATCTGACACTCAAATGGTTCCATATTTAAAATTAGGTCCACATAATCAAAGCATGCAAGCACCTCATAATTATCAGCTCTATAATCTGCAGATGAAGATTTGAGCGATTCAGCCTAACAAATTAAAATTAATGCATAAATTATAATACAAATTAAACTTATTTTGTAAAAATGAACTAAGAACATTTTTAACTTAAACAGCAAATTATTAAGTATATTATCAAAAAAAATAATAAAAGTAACATTTAATAACATAACTTCATGTGAAATTTAGTTAGTTCAAAATATCGAAGGATTTGACAAGTTATGAAATTTAATAAAAAATTTCGAAGTTCATGATTTAGAAAAAAATCAATCAGTTCTTTAAGATTTTGAAAATATTGATCTAGCTTGAGTAAAAAAAAAAACTTTGTGTTGCCAATGAAATGTTAGTCTAGAGAGTAAAGATGGGTCTGTACTACTATTTTGAAGTATTTGAAAGCATTTAGTATTTTAACACGTTGACTGCTGCATCACCCTTATTCAAGTGACAGCAAAGTTTCTGATCGAGCTGCATCACCTGTATTGGGGTGGAGCTTATTTAACTACTTGCGAGGGATATTCGTTTGTATTTGAAAAGATATTTTACAGAAAGTAACAAAACTATTGAATTGTTATAAAAAGTAAAAAAAATGATTTAATAAGAAAATTATTGTGCGCCTTCCTGTTCACTGCTATTTGAGTATTCATCATTTTTATATGAAATTTAAAGGAATAATTAATTTCAATTTGATTCCAAAATTTTTTCACATAAAATGTTGGCCAGGTAATTAAATTATCAGGAAATAAATAAATGAACTTAAAATGAATATTTAGTTCATTTTTCAGTTGTTACTAATATATTTGGAGATTTGTTACATTTATATATTGAAAGTAACAATAATAAACAAACGTTAATTATGTGAATTGTTTCAAAATTTTTGTAATTTGGCATTTGATTCAAATCAACATTCATTTTATTTTACAATCAAATTTAAGCAAATTAAAATTAAAAATAAGCTTAAAAATTCAATATAGACTTTTAGCTTTAATAGAAATTTCACTTAATTTAGATTCAAAATGAAAGTGGGGCTGAAAATTTATTGAGATTAATAATTAAAAGAATCAGGTTCTTGTAACTGATATTTAATTATATTAATATCAGATTGTAACTGATATCACCAGAATGGTACTTACCAATCTCTACTGCACAGTAAATTTAGGGTATTTTAACATGCAATTGTGCATTGTAAACACAAACTCTGAAATAAATTTGCTTAGAATATTTCAGAATAAAAATGATGTACATTACAAGTAAATGATACAATAACTTTCTAACTTTTATTTAATTTAGGCTATTAAATTCAAAATTTTAAATTTTTTAAAACTTTTTTAAGTTTTATAGTAAAAATTTTCATTTTCCTTTAGGCACACAAACCCTTTAAAAAGTGTTCATGGTGGTCCCCCTTTTTTTCAATGCACAGTTTGATAATGAGGAGCCTCAAAGTGATAGGTATGTAAAGGCCACTAAGTTGGTCACTAAAGATGACAAAAAGTTTCATTCAATAATTATAAATAATAAAAAATTGGTTAATACGCTAATTTTCAAATATAAATTAAATTAGGAATATTAATTCCATATTAAATGAAAAAAAAAAAAAAACAATTATTATTGCTTGTTCAACTTACATCTCGTTTTGCAGTAGAAGTTGTTGAATTTGGAATTTTTCCCTCAGCCTTTAAATTTGATTTTGAGTGATTTGAAAAAGAGGAATTGAGCTTTTGCTTCTTCTGAGGCAATATAGGAAGAGGAGATACAAATTCTGAAGTTCTTTTTACTCCTTTTAACGCAGTACCCATGCCTAAAAGAGATTTATTTTGATTTAAATGACTTCTATAGCAATTCGATCCCAAATTCGATTTGTTTGTTTTTTTTAAAAAAGAAGTCTTTACATTAGTATTAGAATCCATAAATTCTGATTTTTGTCTTTGTACTGCCGAATGTGAATTTTTTGATTTGAAAGAAAAATATTGATTTGTGCTTGATGACTCTCCCTGAAGAGAAGATCTGCTTATCTTGGAATATGTGTTTTTATCATTAATTGCAAAATTAGTCATTTTAGTCTTTGATTTAATTTGTCTCTTCAAAGGAGATATAGTAATGGATGATTTTGAGTCATATTCGCCCTTCTCAGAATCTGAACTAGAAGTAGAGATTACATTAGAAGCAGAGAAACAATTTTTTGGTTTAAATGTCACATGTAGCCTATCTTTTAATTCTGAACTCGAGATAGAATCATTTAATGTATAATGTTCTTGCTCAATAGCATTACACATTTTATTTTGAGCTTGAATGCTGGAGTACTTAGAGTTCATCAGCTTAATTTGAGTCTTTGATTTTGTTTGTTTTATAGGTAATCTAGTAATTTTCTTTAAAGGATATTTAGAATTTTGTGGTTTTAAATCTGATTTATGGGACACAGTCATAATTTCATCACCAGAACCTGAACTAGAAGCTGAGGCAGCAAATTTAGAACATGATGAGGCCCAATGATTTGGTTTATTTGTCATATCTAGCCTACCTTTTAACTCTGAATTGGAACTGGATTCATCTAAAGTATACAGTCTTGTGTTCTGGTGACAATGATTTGTTTCCTACCTTCAAAGCTGGATTCCTTAGAATTTAACAGCTTCTTTGGATGATTGTGACAAATGGTTTTAGAATTCTTAAATAAATACATAAAAATAAATATATAAAATCAAAAAATAACAAGAAAACATACAAATAATTAGAATTAACATAGAATAATTAGAAGAAAACATAATAGTTATTGAAAATTTTACATAATGAATAAAACATTTAACTGAAATGAAATAAGAAGGGAGATTACACACTTTTTGTAGCTATGACTGCAGATAAAAATTCTACTTCATTTGTTAAATCTATAGATTCAATATTAGAGGGATCTGCAGTAGGTACTGTTTCCATTTCTGATTGTGAAGATGGGAGTGAAGTTGCTTTCTTTACTTTGTTTCCTACAACTTTATTTACTGGCAACATTTTCTAAAACACAAAATTAAAACATGAAAGTAAAATCAGATCAGATTATTTTTGTTAAACAAAAATATAAGTATAGGGATATTTTTGAAAATGATGTATGAAAAATTATTTTTGTAGTGTTTTTTGTACCTTGAAAAATTAAACACAAAATTCGCACAAAAGTGATTAAATAAATAAGGATAAAAAATATATAAGGAAAAAAAATATATATTGTTTCAGAAACTAATACACATATCTTCTACAAGTATTAATTAATATATGAATTTATAATCTAAAATATAAAATAATAGTTCCACATTATTTACCCTAGATCTTGATATTAATGAATACATATATTGTTAGAAGCTTTTTACTAAACACATAAAAGTTCTGACCATTCAATCACACAAGAGTTATTATAGAGTAAGATATAGTTATATGCCCATTATGATATTTAGTACATACCCAATAAATGAGGCAGTTCTTAATTTCGAAATCTATCTCCAATACCACTATGTAGAACATCCTTCAAAATAGAATATAAATTTGAAAATTGAGATAGGGCTGATAAAAGCAACAAAATGTACAAATCGACTAAATAGAGAATTTAGTTCCCAACTTAATGCTCCTAACATTACTTTTTTTTACATGCAAGACAGAACTGGTAGCAGCAAATGAATCTTTTACAGCGGCTAGACGTTTTTTTTTTTTTTAACCTTTTGATTATAAATACTTTTCTGAAATTTTCATCTTTTCTGAAAGCTACATTTAAGTCAAATTTTATTTCTAATGTAGAATAGAGGAAGGAAAGCAATATTATTCAGACATAAAAAATAACAAATTATACGCTGTATCCCATTAAATTTGAAGTTGACATGTCAGTGAATAACTCAAAATGAATAGCGTCCGCCACAACTTTTGTAAACAAAGCTAAATGTGATTTATTTTTCAGGTCGTTTTTACCTCTGATTTAGTTTGGACCCAGAAAGGTGATACTACAAACAGGGAGAAGTTTGACTAATATGGACCATTGGAAGCTGTGCAGTCAATTCAAAAAAAGGTTTGACTAAGTTCAGTAGGCAAATGAAACACTTTGAGACATTTTTTACTCATTGTTGACTTTTGGGTACCTAAATTATTTTGGATCAGAGCTGGAGTGATCTCTACTCCAAAATGAAAAGCATTTTTGTGTTCTTATTTAGAGTAAATCAGCAAATATGGATTGGTTAGGTATGTTAATTGATTTTTTCTCCTTAAATGAGTAATCATCCTCTCCCTATGATCCTCCAAATACCCCTTTCAATAAGGCAAGGTGGCAGACTACAAATAGTAAATAAGAACAAATAGTAATAGGAACAGTCAAATTCACTTACACAGTTTGCATCTCTATTTTTCAGGGAATTTTGCCTGAGTTAGCTTTATTAGTATATCATCATCATCATCCGAACATGGCCAAGTACCTAGCCCCATTGTTAGGGATTATCTTTTAACAGCCATTGTAGGAATGCAACATAATTTTGAGCCAGGTCAGAGGAGCTGGACAGCACCTGAGCTGGTATCTTTCACTCCTAACTTCAACACCATAACCAACAAGAGGACTTTTAATCAAGATAGATTTAAGGCACACCTTGCAGCGTCTGCACTAAAAGATCTAAGAAAAGTTTGATTTTTTTAAACAATTTAAATATTGCTTCACCCATGCTATGATTTTAATAACTTTACGAGATGGCTAAAATTGTCAGTATTTATTAAAAGAAGTTATTCATCAGTATGGTGGAGGAGTTATCAGGGTGCCAATTTATGTTGAATATGAAAATCTCAGGGTGTTGGAGTTTGTATTGGTATGGTGTATAATTGAAGATAATAATGCAAACAGAAGATGATGAAAATAACACTTGAAAATGAAAACCGGATCGTAACTAATATAAAGCTTTTATTTCATATATTTGCAGAGCTCGAGATACCAAATTTAAATATTATCCATAAGAATTTCAGTTGAATCAATTTTGCATAATAATATTAATAAGGACAGGCCATGGGAGACAAATCCCCCACAACCTGCCTAATCAAAAGCCAAATTAAAAAGTACATGTAATTTGTTCCCAACGGACACAGAAGCATGGGTGGGAGATCGAAATTGGCGATTTAATAAATTATAACATAGCCAAAACGAAGCCAACCAGCATATCAATATTGGGTTTAAAATAATACCTTGGCGATCACAAGTCTCCAACAAATTTATGAGAATTATTACAACCATGCAACTGAAACATTTTTGCGGTTAGAAATTAGAATAAAAGTTATAAATAGATTTTTGTTTTGGATTAGTAATGAAATAAAAAGTATCCGTTGCATTGATCTATAAGAGAATGTTCATGTTCGTTTTAAAAAGATTAAGTCTTTGATTTATTTTAAATGCAATTCTATTAATAAAAATAAGTTTAAGTAATGAAAGATATTTAATAAATATGTAATGCCAATTGTGGCATCACAATCAGCTATGCATTTCATTACTGTGATTTCCTTGTGGTACTCCATTTTATCATAAATTGCTTCGATATTTTCTCATTTTGGTCACATTTTACTCAGAGGAGACAAAAAATTCTATTAATAATAATCTGCCGTCACTATATTTTCATTCGAAATAATGTTATTTAAAGAGGCTGAATAACACATTGTTAATAAAAATTGTTGCAAGACATCAAAGAATAAACCACTGATAGAAAAAATAGAGCAAAGGGCTGTCGTGTCAATGCTGATGATGAATACTGAGTAGTGGACGAATATTGATTACACCCTTAGTATAAAAAGGCCTTTAGACAAAAATTAACACTGTGAGCAATTAACCCATGTATAATTATAATGCAAAAATAAATAAATAAATATAATTAAAAAGATTTGAATGAAAACTTTTTAACAAAAGAGCAGATTAAATAACATCAGTCCCATTTACCTTTTCACTGTTAGACTCTTTAGCTTTGTTTTCATTTGCCATGAGTAATTTCTAACTGATACACCTAAAAAATTAACCATGAAAATTTTTTTAATGATTATATTCTCATAATTAAAATAAGATATATAGATTCACATCTTAGATATAAATAAAAAAAAAACATATAAAAAGATAAAATTTGGCGTTCATATTTGTCACATGGCAACAAAATTTCTCTTAACTTAACATCATATAAAAATCAAGTTTAAATGTTCTGTAATGCAAAAATGAAACTCAGCCATTATTTTTTTTTTTAAAAAAAGGGAGCAACTCTTTGTTGCAAATTGCAAACATAAAAGAATGAGGAAATTTCCGTTTAGTGGTCAGTGGAAGAATAATCACCAAGTCAGTGTAACTTCCAGGTAGCTGCTCGCGAGAAATTTAAAAAAAAAAAAAATCACATAAAGGGACCAACTCGCAGCTACCACAGCAAACATTGAAAGTTTTATTAAAAAATTTTTTCAAGTTTAACATTTATTTGACACCTTGGCAATTGTAGTTGGTGCGACAGATCACGATACAGAAATATCCTCGAAAAAATTAGTTTATCGTTAAAATATAATTTAATTCATCAATGAAAACTAAAAGAGACTAATAATTGTTTATTTAAAGAAAAAAAACCTAACAAATATTTTTAAAACATTACAGCATAAAATATTTAAAAAACTTGCACTATTTTCCCTTTTCATTGAAACTAAACTATAATCATCATTATCCCTTTGATTAGTCTGACCAATGTTCTTCCTAGACAAAAAAAAAAAAAAAAACTTGGGAGAAATTTCCCTATTCTGATCTGTCCAGCCAGACAGATTTGTCCAAATAGTTTTTTAACTTGAAATTTCTTTTTAATAAAAATCATGTGGATGTTTGCTCAGGGGTGGCTACGAATTATACCTTTTGAGTTGGTCCCTTTCTGTGATGTTTTTCTTAGTTTCTCGCGGGCCACTGCTCGGAAGTTTCCAGGACTTGGCGATTATTCTGCCACAGATCACGATACGGAAATCTCCCAAGACTTCTAATTTAACGAATACTCACTTCTTCATCTTTTCAAATAGTTAAAAGAAATTATATCTGTCAGAGAAACTCTACAAAACATTTTGCTCTCAGAATATTAAATTGAAAAGGTAAAGAGGTGAGCTTTCAAATGTTCATTTAGAAACTTTGTTACTTGTTTTTTAGTTTAGAGAGGATGCTGTTCAGCTTATATTTGAAGTAAAACTGTCTTATATCTAAATCCAGAATTTTGTGAAAATTAAAATTTTCCTGAAAGCACATTTCTTTAAAAATAGAAACAAAATTTCAAAAAACTAAAACTAGTAAGCATACAAAAAATTGTTCATCTCTCTTATTAGATTTTACAGTATGATATTTACATTAAATTATGTTCGATCCATCCAAGATCAGGATGGCTGACTCCGTCATGGGTTTGTCAGGTTCCTGGATCCGGGGGCATCACAGGGCATTGCGTACTAGGATGGAGGCCTAGATCTAGGACCTCGTTGTTATTTTTACAAGAATGATCTCGATGCATCTTCAATGATTGCATCACGCAAAACGATGATATCATTCCAACTGCTTATTTCTGCTAAATTTGAGACTTGTTTAAAAGAGGCAAATTTTTTTTATTTTCCACCTTCCGTAGTCGGTTGATCCGAATATTCCCGGGGAGATTTTGAAAAGTAACACGCAATCGACAGACCGGTTTTATGCAGTAAAAGCGGCGCTTGCATCTCTAGCAGCATTATTTTCTGACACCCCGACGTATCTTAGCATTGCACGCATTCAGTGTTGATTATTAAAAAAAACAGGTTAATTTGAATCCTAAAATTTTTTTTATATCAAAAAACTAATATATTACTTTGTATATTGCTTAAAGATGTCTATATTTCTTCTGCAATATATTGATTGTTTACTAAACGTTTTAAAATCAGAGATCAGTTAGATTACAAACAAATATAAACTTAAGTTTCGGTTTCGCTTCATTTTGGTTTTCAGAATTTGGGTTAATTATAACCGAAGGAAAGGTGTTTGCCTATTCAATTATAGTTACTAGTAAGCATCTGTTTTTATTATACCTTAAGTATAATTGCTTACATATAATTAAAAACTAAAATCCTTTGATTTTTTTTTAATTAACTATAGTAGTTTGAAAATCGTTTTAATTAAAAATGCTATAAGTGAAGCATGTTTTTTTAAAAAATAAGCAGCGCAACTATGAATTCGTTCGATTTTTTATGAAAATTAAAAATATAAGTCTTCTTCATCAATACAAATTATTTGTAGCATTTGTTACAAAGTTGACCATATAGAGAGTCTATCAATTACCACTCTTTATAAATGTCACTGTATCCTTTTGGAGTTTAAATCAAGATGAATTAATTTGCCAGGTATCTAACATTATGCTAGAAAAAGTACTGTCCTAAAAAATTACAATATTTTTACCGCTTTATAGAGATTGTGCACCAAAATGTTGATTAAAACCAACTTCCCAATAAAAATCAAAGAGGAAGGGAGGGGGTAAAAATAAAGTAGCGTTAGAGTTTTTGTTAAATGAGTGGGGTTACGGTTTCATTTTTCTGTGCAAGCTTCAAGAAGATAAATATATGACAAATGTTCCTATAGGATGTCTTTGGCGTAGGTTCGATTCCTACTAAGGACAAAATAAAAATTCATCATTAAAAATAATTTTTAAACCCAATGAAAGTTGAAATTCTATACCTATAAAATTAATAATCAGTTTATTATCCATATTTAATAGTATAAAATAATAATTTTTTTTAAAAATTTACTTTATTTAATTTTGAAAAAAAAATATTTATTTTATTTTATACTCATTCAAATATTATTTAGATTAAAAAAATTTATATCACTAAACAATTTAATATTTTTTAATAATACATATTAACTATACAATATTCTTTAATTTATATGAATTAAATGTAAGAAATCAGTTACTTGCTTTCTTAAATCACTAATTAATTGAAATGAATATGCTTAATAAATTAGTTCTTCCTATTCATAAATTTTGTAAACAAAATTCTCTTTTTTATTCAGTTGATCACATTATATCCTGCTTTATTGGAAGTGTCGTTTTTTTTTAAAATTTGAATAATCAGTTATCATTGCATTTTATGATTTTCTTTTTTCCTTACAGTTAGGTATGAAATATATTGCCTTTTTTAATCATTAATTTTGTCTTGCATTAGTTAATTTTTACATATCTTTAGTTTTTTATAATTTAGTTTAACTTCAATAACTTAAAAAAAATTAATTTTGCCTTTTATCATTGTACTTTACACCGAAGAGCCATTACATATGACCACCCTCTATCTATAACAATGTGCTCGCCCAGGAACAATGTTTTCATGGGGGCACATTAGGACCCATAATCCTCATAGAACAATCCCTGATGTCTGTAAGCTACTTGAACATAGTTGCAGACCAGGTTCACCCATTCATGGCAATAGTTTTTCCTGCCGGGGATGGTGCTTACCAGCAGGATAATGCACCATGTCATAAGGGTCGAATCGTCGAGGAACATTTCAATGACTTTCAAGTCATGTCTTGGCCCCCAAATTCACCTGACCTTAATCCAATAGAGCATTTGTGGCCCTACTTGGAAAACCGAATTCGTGCTGCCACACTACCTCTCGCAATGTGAGGGAATTGCAGGACCAGTTGGTAAGTGCTTGGTACCAGATACCTCAGACTACTTATCAGCACCTTGTGGAATCAATGCCACGTCGGGTGTTAGCAGTTTTGAGGGCTAAAGGTAGTCCTACATGTTATTAACAGGGTGGTCATAATGTAAGGGTTCCTCGGTGTATATTTTTCTATCTATTTACTCATCTTATGATTCCTTTTTTTAAATAAAAAATCTTAATATGTTCTATTTTAGTTTTTTTTTAACATTGATTTAATTTCAATTAAATACAGATTATGTTCGTTAATGTTTACATTTTTTCTGTTAAAAAATTAAGAATGATATTTGTTTTGGCTCTTATCTAGCTTTTTATTTTTTACAAGCATTTGTTTTTATAAACATTTTTATCATGAAGCGGCAATTTTCGAAAATAAGGTAATTGAAAATCTGAGATGTTTAGCTTTAAATTCTCTGATAGTGTCCGATTTTGTAATTTAAACTAACTTAAATTAGCTGGTTTCATTCACTTAAATGATTATAAAAATTTCACAATAGAACTTAATTCAATTATTAGATTAAATGTTATTCAAAGTGTACTGCTTTTTATTTTACAACTTGTACTCTTAGAAAAAGTACTTCTGATAAGGACTTGTACATATTATTTGAAAAATTCGATTTTCTGACATATTTCTGATCCTACATATGCCAGCAGAGAACATACCATGAATATTTAAAGACTAGAACAACTTAAAGTGCAATCCTGGCAGAAGCAAATTATGCAAAAGCTTTATGTTCTGATAAGTCCTAGTGAAGTTTAGAAAAATATAACACACACCAGAATTTGATTAATAATGTTTTATACAAAGAAAAAATAATTATTATTAAAAGACCAACTACATATTAAATATCATAAAACACTTTTATTTCAAATACAAACTTTATACACACAAGAGTCATAAACATCAGGTAATAATTTCAAAAAAATGTTTGACATATAAAATAAATAGATTACCACACGCTTAGAATACTATAACTCTTAAAACCTTTAAGCAACAACTTTTCACGTTTCATATTTTTCTTTTCTTTTTACAAGTTTAAAGTGCGTAGGGCAAAATAGTGAGTTATTACAAAGGTCATTTTAATTATTCTTTTATGTTCATTGCAATGTTTAAGATGGGTTTTCTTAACAGTTTGTATGTCAATCTACAGTCCAGATGGTAAAAATACATTCCAGCTTCTTCCAAAATTAAAATTTTTGACTTTATTATAGTTTGCAGTTTCACATAGAAAGCATGTTTGCTTAAAATACTTTCTAAATAAAAAATTTTATTACACAATTTTTTGTTTTGTTTATTTTCTTAAGAACTTGTAAGCAAAGATTAGAGTATTAGTTAAAAAACCCAATCACAATCCTAAACAATGGTATGCAGGCACCTGGTTTAGTTTAGGAGCAAAAAAGGAAGAGAAAAAAAGTATTAGCAAATTTTTTCTTCTCATACCAAATAATATATTTTTTTCTTTCTGCATTTCATATATTTGTAAAAATTAGAAATAATTAAAGTTAGAGAGAATAAGATAAACATAACAAAAAGTTATCAACATGACTACTAAAGGGAAAACAAGAGAAATTGAGGTTAGAAGAGTATAGTTGATAAGTTCTAGAAGAAGGAAAGAGTCTGGTAAAAATCACAAAACTGGATTGGTCTGTATATAATTTTTAATAGATTTAATTTGAGATATTTTCAGGAAATGACTTACATACCAAATAGAATTTGCCCTTTAATATTGAACATATTAAATACATTATTTTTCAAGTGGTTTTCTTATTATGTTTAAATGAAAGTGTATTTCTTGATATATATATATGGGAAAAAGTAAAAATGAAATTAATTTTGCAAAAACCCAATATTAAACCTAATAAATACATTAAAAAATAAGGCAAGTTATTAAACATATGAATATAAATTAGGAAGTAAAGAAATAAGTTGTTTTCAGTAAGGACTAGTTAATAATATTACAAGTAATTTATTAAAGGTAGAAATAAACAACTTATTTTGTAATTAAATAGAAAAATATTATTAGTTAATATAAATAGTTCAATACTTTTCAGAGCCTTTTCTGAAGTTAAAATGTAAAGTTATGACACAATAATAAAAAAACGGTGTAGCTCAACATATATATGGAATGATTTTCACACAGTATTGGTGAAACCCCTATTGGGCGGTGCTGCTTGTTCAGGTTTTTTCCGAAACGAGTTAAACATCTGAAACAAATAAAAATAGAAAAAATGAAATTTTAATGATTTGTATAAAAGTTATTGATACCACACATTAAAAACTAACATTAACTTATTTTAATTATCAGCTTTACATTATTCTTCAGTGGCAAAAAGTTTCTATGAACACTGTAATTTTCTTCACTACTGGGGATGTGTGCAATTGCATTTATGTAAAAAACTAAATTAAATATAGTGAAATTAATTTTAAAAAAGGCAAAATTAGCTATTACCAGAGAATGGCCCATATTACGAATGACTGGAAGAACTTCCGATTCTTCCAGTGTAATTCTATTTATAATTTAATTTTATTCTTAATCATTTAAAACTCTAAATACCATATCATGATGTTATAAATAAATGTAATTTTTTTTAGCACAATTTATTTACAAAACTAACACAAAGACACTTCACAATATTTAAACCGTTTAAAAGATCAAATATATTCAAAATTAACTTTGCTACTTCATTTTATAACTAAAATAAAAACTAAATCTATAATAACAAATTATAGCAGTCTAAATGCAATGAATTCAACAAAAACATCTCGTAAGCATAATGAATGATTTAATCATAATTTAATATATACTTAAACAAAAGAATCCATGCAGTCATATGATCCAATACATTCAAATAGAATACATGTAATGAGCAAAAATGCAAGGAGTTCAACTAAAGCATCTCTTGAGCACAATGAGTGTTTTAATCCTAATTTAATTTGTACATAAACAAGAAAATTAATGCCTGATAATTGAGAAATTATATAGAATAATAAAATTAAGAAATGACATAAGGACTGTGCAAAAGAAAAGAGAACACATTTTTCAGCGAATTGGTTGATATAAATAGCATTTTTCTCTTTAATAACATGAATGCTGGTTTTGTGCAAACTATTCTGTTTCTGACCGATTCCATTCTATGGAAGTCCACTTTTCAATAAAGCAAGCATTATAATAACAGGCATATCTAAGATATTTCTACTCAAACAACAGTTCAGATTTACACAATCAATATTTACTTACATTAGAAATAACTTGTCTTCCCATCATATTTGAGACAACTGTACCAAATGATTCATTGCCACCTACTCTGCATCTTAGATAACCATATAAATTTGCTCCATTCAAAACAAGTGCAACAATAACAACAACCTGAAAAAAATTTATACTTCACTTTAGGTAACTTTTATTAATTAAATCATTACAAATGTACACTAGATTGTTTCAAAACTTTATGGTAATTTTTTTCTCCTTAAATATGGCAAACAGACAAAACATGTGAACTTGTAACAGACAAAATATGTGAGGCACAAGTAAGGGAAGAAGATGGCCAATTTTGAAACTGACGATTTTCAGCACTGTTGAATGAGGTGTGGGATCTAGAATAAACAATGGGATGTGGACGCACCTTTTTTAGGAATTAGTGGGGTTATTACAATAGGGACCAAGTGAGACATTGCAAAGAGGGAAAAAACCTGTTTAATCCAGAAAAGAATACACATGTTTCTTTTTTATAGAAAAGAGAAAAAAAAGAATTAAGAAAAAAGGGTAGGGCTTATATGGGATATAAAGGGGAAAAAAGGGGGGGCAGGGTGCAGCTCTCTTCAAGAAATGCAAAACATGAACACGGGTGTCATTTGATGCTAAAGTTGACCACAATACAAGTGAACTTCTAATTTCACAGATTTGCAATATTTGATTGTTTCTAGCATTGGTTGCAAACACATAACAAAATAGTTGCCAGAGGGCAACATTTGGTACTTATATGCAGTTATTTATGAAATGAAAGTTTTTATTTTAAAAAATGACCAGAATACAAGTGAGCTTTGAATGTAATATGGTTGCAATATTTGATTAAGTGTTCAACATATGACAAAAATGACAACAATAAAAATTAGCCACGAGTAGTTAGTCAAAGAGTAGTAGTAGTTAGTTAAAGAAATTGACAAAGATTAGGTTCAGATATATAACAAATCTGTTCCGAGGATAATCTGTTATGTATAATATACACAACTGTGCAAACCCTGTTAGCAAAAAATTATCCACCATTGCAGAATTTTTGTATGAGATTCATTATAAACAAAAAAGGGTCGAAATTTCTTATTTTATGACAAAGTCAATAGTTTTAAAATTTGTGGAAAATTTTTAAGCATAGCTTACTAAAAAAAAAAAAAAATCTTCGAACTTGACCTGCAGATCAATCTTGCACAGATTGATATAAATATTTTGCTTCTCTGTCTTGCACAGCGGCACTTAATCCATGATTACGTCTTTGCTTGTGACTTTTAGGCATACTCAGAGATGCCAACTGCTCCAGACACATCAAAATAATTAAAAAAACGGTAAATAACTACAAAGTAAATTTTGCAAATATTTGACTATTTCTACTTGCTTTTTAAAAGGTACAGCCTGACAAATGTACTATAAAGTGGTGAATTTTATAAGTCTACAAATTATTTAGAAATAGTGGTAGATAAAAATCGACTAAATTCAATTTATTAAATAAAGAATCACAAATGATAAACTACCACTTTGAAACATATATTTGCTGTCCGGAGCAAGTTGGCATCTCTGCATACTAGTATTTATAATAAACAATGTAGAGTTTATTTTCATAAAAATTAAGAAATTAATTAAAAAATTGGTGATATCAAAACAAATTTTGCCACAATAGGTGACGGCGAAAGGGTTAAGACTAGTTTCACGAGTTAATTAATATCGCGAAAATTAAAAGTTAATTACAATTGCTTACAGAAATTCTTCATTTTATCTAGGTTTGTATATGAATAACAGAAACAAAATTAATAACAGTACATATAGGGAGAACATGATATAAGAAATGATAAAAAAAAAAAAAAGCTGGGACTCATTCCCCTCCAAAGGAAACCACCTATCTAAGTTGACCACAAACCTATTGTGCCGCAAGTGGTCAAATTCTGAATTATGCGTAAAAAAATAAACTTAAAGAAATAAGTATAAAGGTCATATACTTACAAACCATTTGACATTTAATCTGAAAAAACTAATGAAGAGGAGAATTGTCCATATAACTGGGCATATAATCAGGCCCAACCAAAATACTTGTGCTTCTGCTGCATCAGTAAGAGATGCCTCTTCAGCCTTTAATAAAAAAACACGAGATTATAATCAGATTAATAATACTATATTTTAGTCACAATAGTAACTATATATATTTATTTTAACTTATTTTTAATGCACTTTGACTAATTTTTCTCTTTTTTGGCTTTATATCTATACTGATGGCTCCTTCCAGGAAGGTTCTTCATATGGAGCAGGATTCTGTTGTGAAAACCTTATTTGAATGCTCAGCCTCAACTGGTAGAAATGCCAAAAATTTAGAAACTGAGATAGAGGCAGTCAGTTACTCAACTATCCATTCGCAATACATCTCTAAATGATGCATTGTTTCTTGTTGATTCACAGTCAGCCAGCCTTTAACTTTGCCCTTTGCAAAGCAGCCAGTCAAAATGTGTAGAGGAAACCAAACAAAAAATTTATGAACTAATCAACTATGGTAGAGCAATTTTCTTCCAATGGATTCAAAGCGATAGCGGTATACCTGGAAACGAGATGGAAGATTGGAGAGAAAAAAAGATGCTCGCTTCCAAAGTCTCCTTTTGCGCTTCCTTAGAATCAAATTACTTTCATCTATGTCAGGGCAACAACAAATTTGCAAAAACAACCTAACTACTGGTGATGCAAGAAAATGCGGTTCAGCCTTACTCTCATGAGCATCCCCAACAGACTTTAGAACACTCAATGGTCATGACTATCGCCAAAATCACATTCGTCATTTAGCAGGGTTGGCATGATTTAAAACAATTTTTTTAAAAATATAAATCATTAAGATGAAAATATTTTTATGAATATATTCTTTAGGGTGCAATTCTTGTTAAAATCTGATTTCACTGATAATGAAGGTTTTATCCAGAGAAATAATGATAGGTTAAATTATTATAGTTCAAAATAGACAAATAAAATTCAAGACTAAAAATGGAGAAATGTACACCATTAAATTATAAATTACAATTAGCCACATGTTAAACAATTAGCTGGTAATAAACAAATTTCAATTATACCCATTCAGTTTTATGTTTATTTGAATAAAGTGTTTTTAAATTATATTAAATATGTAGTTAGTGCTAACCAATGTTGATGAAAGATTTGTTCGGTCCAAAGAAACTTTGGAAAAATTCTTTTCCTTAATTTTTTATGATCTAAACTAATTTACTCTTCATTGGATATATCACACTGATAAACTGTCTTTAAAATTTTAGAATGTTTAGCATGAACAAAAATAAAAGCAATTTATTTCAGGGATTAGTTTGTAATAATCGAAAAATATTTTTGATAACATTTTAGCTTTGCTATTGTTTTTAAATAATATTAAGAACTATTAATATATTTTATCGAACAATTCGGCCGGTTAACATTTAAAAAAAAAAAATCTGAATTAAATAAAAAAATCCAATTTAAATGAAATAAATTTAATTTTTTTCCCTTAAAAAAAAATCACGAATTTTGCTAATCCTGCCTTATAGGCATTTTCAACTCTCCTGACTGCCCTCTGTGTTCCACAAGAGAGGCTATGAATTTTAATCACTTAACAGCTTGCTCATCTTTGAGCAACATTACTATTCTTCAATTTTTAACAACTTTTATATGGAGGTTATTTTGCACTGGACTGCTAGAAATAAAATGGTTTAGTGGGTCAACTTTTCAATATCAGAGAAAAATAATATGTTAGTCAATATCTTATATATTTAGATTTGCATAATGAACAAGTTTACAGTTATAAATAATTAAATTTAAGTTCACGAATGAATTAAACAAATGAAAAACTGTGCCAAAGAACTTACTTTTCTGGATTCAAATACCCAATGGCTTTTGCCTTCATCATCAACATAATTCCACCATCGTAAACCAACAAGAAGTCGCCCAGTTATGTTTTTGACAGTCCAAAAATCAAGAGACAGAAATAACACAATGGACACAAAACTTGATATGAAACTGTTGCTGAACCATCCACACAACAAATAAGTAATAAGAGCTAAAGATCGAAATGCTAGGTGGAAGAGTACAGCTAATGGGTGCCTACAAGCATGAAATTAAACAAATCTTATTAAGAAAGTAATAAATTTATTTTGTTATCAACAAGCAGATAAATTAAGACTAAGGGTTTTTCAATTATATACAGAGGAAAGTCCCATAACCAAAATTTTTAGAATTTCAGCAAATCAGGAAAATAGATTTCTCCAGATGACAGGTCATATAAGGTAAACAAACATTAAAACATCCTTATTTAATAAAAAAATACTAAATAGACAATAATTAATGTCAAGTTCAATCAATATATAAATCCACATGGTCTGCGTGGTTGCACTATTTTCGCAGCTTTTGTTACAGATTTCCACACGGTTTTTAAAATCTTGTCATTTTAATATGCCATTGCAATGTACCGTTAATTTAGAATCATGCATTTCAGTTAATTATCATTTTTTGATTAGCAATGATTACACAGTGAATTCACATGATTTAGTCGATCATTTTTTTGGTAGTTATTAAAAAGGTTTTTCACTCAGTATTTAAAATCTTAATGTTTTAATTGGATATTATTTCGTTGGCTAATTTTAAATTGCACATTTCGCACTCACTTATTGACAATTCATCCACATGGATTTATAATTCAATTTTTGTCAGGTATTGCTACGGATTTTCACAATTTAATAGAAAATCCTACTTTAGAAATTTCGAATCAAGCTTTGGAAGAATGACTTTTTGATGCACTTAATTTATGATGATTTTATTATCCATGTGGTTTTGTTGATAACATTTTCAACAGTTTGGGATCTTTACATAGTTTTTAAAATTTTGTTATAATTTTTAATATAATTCCGAACTGCGGTTTTGAATAATTGTATTTTGTTTGCACCATAGTGTTATGCTGGGATTTGCTTCCGCCATGTCCAATTTTTTTCTCGTATTATCATGGAAATCAGATAAAAATTTAACAAAAATCAGAAGTTTGGTAAAAACCATCAAAAAGCAGAAATTAGCGGAGGTGCAAGTATAGCCTAAACAAAACTGATAAAAAATTACAAAATGAATTTTCATTTTTACAGTAAAACTTTTACCTATCTATTATTACTTAATTCCTACAATTTTGTTCAGTTAAATTTGTCTAGTCATGCCAAATTTACATTCCCAAAACCCCCGTGGCAGAAACACGGCGGCACAGCGACATTGTCGCAGAAAGCTACTGAGTTCTTGCAGAAAGATTTTTTTTATTTGGGAAATAAAAATTTTTGGTTTGCCACAAACAAAAGTTCTCAAAATAAATTCTGCAGAAACAGAAGCTGTTTTACCAACAAAAAAAAATTATTTTCTTCAGAAACAAAAAATTTCTGCAGAAGCAATAATGGTTCTGCAAAATTTTTTTCTTACAGAATTGTTTTAAATATTTTTTTTTTTAGCGTNAAAAATTACAAAATGAATTTTCATTTTTACAGTAAAACTTTTTCCTATCTATTATTACTTACTTCTTACAATTTTGTTCAGTTAAATTTGTCTAGTCATGCCAAATTTACATTCCCAAAACAAAATGGAATAACCTGTTCCCCATAACGACTTGCAGGAATTTATCTCTCTGTTAATTCTTATTTTTATAAGAACTTCACATTCAAATCTTCACCATTATAATACATTTTAAATTCTGAAAATATGAATTTGATTGTGCCGCGAGTTAACGGGAAGAATAGATATAATGGATTTGCTTAGTTGCTGGAAAATTCCTGGCGCTTTGTCTGTTTCAGCCTATAATCTGCACGGTCACTTTTCAGGAATAGTTATCTTCCACAGGTTATCCACGGATAATCAAATAAAAGTTATGGTAATATAAGTTTGGTAGGTTTTTTGTCCATAGCATGATTCACATTAATAACCATGGTCATGCATAGAACATGACTATACACTTTAAAAAAAATCATCATTTATTAGCAAGAAATATTGGGAGTCCCTGGTGTTTTTTAACAACATCAAAGAACCATGAAATGTAGAGCTTTTTTTAAATTTTAAATTGGTATTTTTTAGTAAATTTTAATAGTAATGTCTGAAAAAGAGAAAGTTTAAAATTAAAATGGAATCATTGTAGTAAATGAAGATGTTGGAAAACATACAAAATAGACCTTATTGGAGGATGTTTTCAAAAATACACACTCATATTATTAATTAAGGCAGATTATGTACATATAAAATTAAGATTACTTTCTGGTTAGAGCATTTGCATCATCTGAGAAGTGTAATGCTACATCATCAGGATTTCTCATCATTTTTCTAAAGTAAAAAAAAAGAAAAGTTTATTACAGGGAACAAAAAAAAGGAGAACTTAAAGTCCAGCCAACATTTAAAAACTTCGAATTTAAAAAAGTTCTAATAAAATATATTAAATTATTAGGATGTTGTAATTGGTTAATAACACTGAGAAATTTTTTTTTTTTGCATTTATACAAATTCTTACTTACAAAGATAAGAAAAAAGATTACTTACTAATAAAATAAAAATAATAATTTAGCAAAGCAAACAAAATTCTTTAATGAATTGTTATTTGGAAATTGGCACTGAAATTCATAAATTTTTTGCTGTGAAAATGCTTTATTTCCCAGACCATTTTCCAAAAAAAACAAACAAAAAAAACCCAGAAAATTATTTAGTTTTCTTTACGTTTTTAAGTTAAAAATTAGATAAAATACATTAGTTTGAAGAAAAAAAAATTTCTTCCACTAGGGTCTGTGTGTGTGAAAGTAAACTGGGTATAAAATCAAGCTTTTTTTTAAAAGGATCTAAAATCAAACGATCAAATTTATTTTACCAAAAATTTTGATGTATTTTATAAACATTAGATTCGTATATAATAAATATGAAGTATAATTTATCTATTTTGTTTGTTTGCTTACAATAATGCATTTGAAATAACATGTTTTGATATACCCATTTAATTTTAGAGCTGGGCAAATCCAAAAATTAGTATAAAAATATAATCCAAAAATTAGTATATATTTTATTAAAAAACATATGTAAATATTGTTTACGAAATAATTCATAATAAATAGAATTTTAAAATTTATTCTTATATTTCTATGTAGATGTCCCTCTACCAGTTCAAACTGAAATAGTCTTAGCCGGTTTTAAATGAAATTAGAAAAAAGTTCATCAGCAGCTTAAATTAACACATTGTATAAGTAAACTAATATACTATTAACTGATCATAAGCAGATAATTTGTAAACATTTAACTTTTATCAGTTTCCAAAACTGAATTAAAAATGCTCGCCACCATCCCAGTAAATGTCTCTATAAATATTAAATAAATTATCTCAATATAAATAGAGAAAATATATGCTTTTAAACATATACCCAATGTCTTACTTTCCATGGAATTGTCCAAAATTCCTCTAAATAATATTGTATAAAAATATTTATTGCCAGAAAGCTAATAGAAAGCTGTTATAGGGGCCATACTCATTGTATCCGATAGCCCTTGACACACATGTAAACATTTAGAAACTACATGATCCTGTATGAAGGATAGCATATTCAAATCACAAGCAGAGAGAATGCTCCCATCCTTAAAAACATTTATTTCTAAAGCAGTTCGTTAACTGAAATATTTTTACAGGTACAGAAAATGTAAATTTGGGAAAAGCTGACATTTTCTGTTTGTTAAACGGATGAAATAGTTCGGCAATATTTTACCTAAAACACAAGCAAATAGAAGATACGAGGAAAATCTTTACTTAAAGACGCGAAGATCAATATTGAATATAAAAGGTAAACAGAAGATAAGAAGACTAAATTGAAAACTATAACTCAATTGCGTTTAAATAGCTAACTAAACTGAAATTAGTGCCAGTTACAAATGTTGGTTTTAATGTAATAGTGGAACAAAACAATACTCATGGAAAAAAAATTTTTTTTAAAAATGGCATTTTCTACTATAATTACAAAACTGTGGTCTTAGTTATAAACTAAAAATTGAATGCAAAGTAAAATAAGAACTATTATAGACTACGTCACCCAAAACAAAACGAATGTTATTAGTTAAAAGATTCCGATAAACACTGCATAAATAAAAGAAATCATAAATTGTATAAAATCACAAATTAATAAAAAAAAACTATGCTTTTCATTACATGTAAATCAATTCCTAAAATTTACAGCATATTTATCTCAATTTAAAATTAAAATATAAAACTTTTTATGATGTCTTATGAGCAGTCATCACATTACCGTCATAATAATGTTTACAGTTCTGCATTTATAGGGTTAAAGCGTTATTTAATGTTAGTTTCGCATTAACCACCCAAACGTACAAAATGATGTACCGCATTCATTGGAATGATATTTGGTTGGTTGTTTCACTACTATGGTGGTTTTATATGCGATTGCACGTGTCCCGCAGTGGACTAATCGTTAAGACACGGTTCCCAACAGATCACCGAAGTAAAGCATCACTGGCTGCAGTCAGTGTGCGGGTGGGTGACCACTTCGGTTAGTTTACGTAAAGCGTAACCTGTTCTACCGTAAAGTGCTTGACTTCGCGTGCAGGTCGTCGAGCTACCGAGGCAGGGGTGCCATCGCCTCTGCAGAGGATCGAAATTGTGATGTTGTTGATGTTCAACAACATCCCAATTTCGATCCTCTGCAGAGGCTATGGCACTCCTGCTTCTGTAGAGGATCAAAATAGTGATGGCATGTCTTCGGATCATACTCAGGGATGTTTCCCAGACCGTCGCCAATAGCCCATTGTGCAGCTCCAGTGCAACGTAAATGAACTACAACAACTACAATGCGCTCGCACGTTAACGCGAAACGTGATTCACGCATGCGCGAGCACTTCACCTTACATTTAGTTTCGGCCTTTCTTACTGAATGCAGTTAACGTAATACCGATAATCGCAGATAAAATGAGTATTAATAATACTTTATTTACACAGCTCTAGAGCTGCATAATGGACTATTGGCGACGGTCTAGAAAACATTCCTGAGGATGATCCGAAGACATGCCAACACAATTTTAATCCTTTGTAGAAGGGATGGCTCCCCCGCTTTGGTAGCCTAATAGTTATAGTTCATTTACGTCGCATTAGAGCTGCACAATGGTCTATTGGCGACGGTCTGGGAAATATCCCTGAGGATGATTCAAAGACAAGCCATCACAATTTCGGTCCCCTGAAGAGGGGATGGCACCTCCGCTTCGGTAGCCCAACGACCTGCACTCGAAGTCGAGCACTTTACGGTAGAGCAGTTTAGCGAGGGCCAATACACCACACCCTCGGTCCTTACGCAGACTGATCCAAGTGGTCATCCACCCGCACACTGACCACAGCCAGTGATGCTTGATTTCGGAGATCTGCTGGGTACCGTGTCTTAACGATCAGTCCACTGCGGGACTTTGGTAACCCAACGACCCACTCGAAGTGGACCGAACATCTCTAACTTAAGAGTTAGCTACAGAAACTCTAGTCATGACCTATGCATTAATTTTCGTAACAATTCTATAGTTTGCTTAAAAGAGATTTTATCTCACATAATTTTAAAAAAAAAAATAACTTTGTATTAAATTATTAATAGAGACTAAATTGTTTTTTCTTTTTCTTTTTTTTTAATTTTTTTTTTAAACTTGAGAATTCGAATGGTAAAAATGCATGGTCTCATCAATCTGAATTTTATATTATCAACTTATGTCACTATGTGTAAACTTGAATATATCTCTAAAGGAGGTTTTCGCATTTATGTGTTTGTTTAACAAACTTTTAACGCTTACTTATGATTTGAGAATAAAACTATTAAATAGGGTCAAAAAGCCAACGTAAAATGATTTGAAGGTTTAATCTTCCATATAGAGTTCAACCTCGCAAGAAATTTTAACTGATCATGCAGTTTCAGTAAAAATTCAGTCTTAATCATCTTGTACTTACTCTATAGTAAAGTTGTATATACTTTATCACAGGATGAAATAGCAAAAATTGTTTCAGTAATAAAAATGTAGTTTTCTTATTTTTTTTAAAAATATTACTGCTCATTTTTAGGACATCAAATTTTTTAATGTATTTTAACCATTAATCAACGTTTGAATTGCCGTATCTGGCTACTAAGGAATGTATAGAAGTTTTCAATAAAGTATTTTAAATTTTCTATAGCTGTAACAAATGTAACGTCGGGGAGCTTTGTACTTTGGACGCATTTCATAATATGTGTTTAAAAAAATGGATACAGCTGCTCAAAATATGTGTTTAAAAAAATATACACAGCAATGCGCATTTACGAAAATGGGCACAATAACTTCAAACTTTTTTTTTATGAAAATGTTTTTCTTTTTTAAGGAATAAAATGGATTCAAATAAATTCGCAATGAGATGACCATTTGTCTAAATCACTTCGTAATTTTTTTTAAGAATTGGTTTCTTTTTTTAAAGAAATTTAAAGTTAACAGTTCTCTTTACATGCTTGTCCCAGGTTTTGTAATTTTATAATATCAGTATTAAATTGACATTGTACGAATTTAAAATTTTTTAAACTACCTAATCGTTTTGTGCACTGAATACGAAGACTATCCTGAAAAGTAGACTATCCATCAGTAAAAGTAGACTATCCATCAGTAAAATACCCGCCACCGAAGTTCCAGATTTGACCTGTAATGATTGTGTAAGTACCATTATGAAACGAAGTGCGGCATTTCTCGTTTAGTTCTTAAATTTGGGTAGAACTTTAAAAAAGAACGTTTTTTACTGCGTCCATTTTCCTAAACACGCATTTTGAGCTATGTATAGAATAAAATGCAATATATTTGTTGTTGCTATAGATAAGTTTAAACAAGCATATGCATTCCTTTCCTTCTGTCTTTAACCCTTTTAGGATAGGCTGAAGGAGAAAAATGCGCTTCCCCAGGCAAGCACGCTCCAAGACTATACGTGCTATAGAGTGTGTACATACATCCTAATACCAGAGTACCATATTTAGAACATGCTCGTGTGATTTTGAACCACTAGTGTCAGAAAGGTTCATTTTTTATATGATGCTGTGGGCAGTGAAAGGAGAATTGCGTGATCACGTTTATGTGATTACGGTAATTGATGTGTTAAACATTCTGATTTAAGCAACCAGGATAGTTCTGTTTTTATCAATCATTCAACTCGAGGGTTTACCTTACTTTGCTAATAATTTCCTCATACATGTCAGCTTTTCTAAATGACTAAGAACTATTTCTTATTTGGAGTCTATTTGAAAGTTCTAGACAAGTTCAAAGATAATTCCAAAATGTTCAAGGAAAATTCCTTTTCAATACTATTTCTTAAATAATTGATTTACGACTATTGGCACTTCTGTGAGTGTTTTTCTTCTCGTCTTCCAGAGTTTTGCTGCCATAAAATTTGAGTGATTACTTCAGTTCTATGCATTTTGTTAGTGCATCGTTCGTTTCTAAGTTTTTCTCCAGTTCGTACACTTACATCAAAAATGTCAAAAACACTCTTATAGTATTTCAGTTAAGGCATTATTAAACCTCTTTTTGAATTTGAATAAAAACCTAAGATAAAGTGAAAAAAAAAGTCTTTGGGAAGTTGGAAACAAGTTTTATACCGATAATTATAGTTTTATCGCGCAAAGGATCGTAATAGATAACTAGACAACTTTTCATTTTGTGACCTAACTAATAAGTGAACTCTTAAACGGAGCTTAAAGCCACAATGTAAATATTTACTTCATATGGGCCTCATCGTTGCTCTCATAAACAAAATCGGGTTTTGAAGCACGTGAAGAGGTTTTCTTCTTCCCCAAATGTTGCTGAAACACACACAAAGCAGAGCTCGTTACGTAATATAATTATTGAACCTATTTTCTCGCTTCGGAGATCTTTACAACATGAGGAATATATTTACATTGAAGACGAAACAGTTAAGAGGCTCCGCTCTATTCTAGTTGTGTATTTGCTCCATAGCCAAAATCAACATAACTTTCTGGTATCTAATTATAGTTTCAGTTTAAACAGGAAAATCTGATTTTGTGAGATGCCACTGAATCTTTATCCATTTGAAACGAAAAATACAATTTTTTAATTTCAGAATGTCTTGCATATTTTATTACGATTTTTCCCATGACTCTAATTCAAATATAAAAACCATAAATCCTTTTTTCCACCGAGGATTGTTTTTATTTTTCATTTTGGAATATACAGTAGTACAATAAATGGAAATGAACAGAATATACATAATAAATGGAAGTAAACAGAATATGCATAATAAATGGAAAACGGAATATTCACAATAAATACAATAGAAATAGTCGCTGTATACAAATCACGATAGGTGTTGTAAAATTTTGCTTTTATTTTCTTGAGTTATTTTTTCATTTAGCGTTTGATTAGCATTCTGTAGACTTCTTTTGTATTTCGAAGTGATGAAAACTATTAAAAAAAAATGATAATTCATACAATTAGAATCATACTTATATGACACACATTCGATCAATTAATCAATAAAATTACCTTATACAAGCAATGAAAAATTATTCTGCTGAAGTATAAGTTCTAATTCTGATGTACTTATCACTTATAAGGTGTTTCATAAACATAGCCTTTAATTTTAAAGGAATGGGAAATATAGCTAAAAGCCTCTCTTTTTTTTAAAGATGACATTTTTGCTTCAAACTGTTTCTTAGTATTATTTGTTTCGGATTTTGAAAAATTTTCACTTGCATAATACACAGAAACATCGCATTGCCGTCATAGAAATTGTAATGTGTTTATCAAAAACATTGTTTTGAACTATTTAAAACGTGTATTATCTTTATATTGTCATTAGTTTTTCATTTATAATTTTAGAGGAATCTATCTATATACATTTCTCTTATGTGGCAAATAGAGAATTGCCACATGAAATCGAGAATTTCTCTATTTATTGGCAACACTACAGTTGTTATTCATTTTGTTAAAGTTGCGTTGAAAAACTTAATTATACGCTAAGTATTTTTTTCAGATTCATTTTGTTAGGTTGTCTTAAGTAATAATTCAAGTAGTTTTAGTTAGTTATACGATCAGAACTTATTTAGAATAATTTTTTATTTTTATAGAAATGAAAACTTAGTAACAAAGTAATTTTTTAGATTTATTTTTGATCCGTTTTAAAATGACTGTAGAAATTTTAAATATAAACTGTGCTAGGCTCCTGTATACTGTCCTGTCATATCAATTATTGGTGGAGCGTGCCACTTTCAGACGATAACATACTTTTACTGCCTTCTATGCTGAAATGTCCTATTATGTGCACTTTTTGTGGTTTGCGTGATTTAGTTGATAACGGATCTTCTTGTTTTTATGATTTTCTTTAAACTATTAATTCAAACCTCTAAAATGTTATATATATCTTTTTACAACGATGTTTGATGTTGTGGGGGCGGAGTTATCGACCATGCCCACCTTCATCTATCAAAAGGTACCTCGTGATTGAATCAAGTTAGCATGTCTTATATACCCGTGAATTGATATTTAATTTTCGTAGTGGTAGTTACGCCACATTACTCCCCCACCAGAATTTTATCAGGGATAGAAATTCGATGAACGGATACCACTAGTTGCTGTACTTGTGAAAGACCGAAAGAGCTGTTTGTTGAGTGCTGAATGTGAGAGGTGTATTAGCATCACGTCGTAGCGTTCGTTGTTGCTTCTGTGTTGGATTTTGCAGTCACAAGTAGCAAGTCAAATGTTCAATGTCGACTATCCATCGAAGTAGGCGTTACCGTCAAGTTAATGGATAAGTGGGCGTTACTGCGTGTACAAATCACGTCCGGGTCACCAATGTGGGGGCGGAGTTATCGACCATGCTAACCATCATCTATCAAAAGGTACCTCGTGATTGAAACAAGTTAACATGTCTTATATACCAGGGAATTTATGTTTAATTTTCGTACTGGTAGTTACGCCGCAATGTTATCTGCAGAAAAAAGACAAAATTCATAGTTTACAGATATAAGGACATTCCTGTATTATTACGCTTAGGAGTGTGGTTAGTGATTTATCTTTGTTCAACCAACACTAAAGCTTACTAACACCAGAGCCAAATACACTATCAATTTCCTCTGTTGTCTGCGATGCCACAAGACCTTATATTTCACAATCGTGCGAATTTCTGATCTTTCTGTTTTCAATAAAATTAACTTTAAAAAATGAATTTAACTTTTTTTTATAGATTTCGATCATTTTCTTCAGCTGGTGAGATTTGCAACTTTTCAACAAAAGAAAAAAAAGTACAATGGTTAAAGCCGATATCAAATAGTGAAACTGTTAATGTTGACATATCCTGTTATTGTTACGCATCCCCCTGGAGAAGGAAAGCCTAGACCAGGTCCAGAAGGCCCCGTCGCGCCAGTTCCCCATATATCTGCAAAAAGTCCCGATCAACCAGCAGCTGCTTAAAAGAAGTGCGAAGGCAAAAAAGAAGGTGATCAGGACTAGCAGGTTGTGAGCAGGAACAAGGTTGGAAAGTTTTCTCTCCTTTTTGAAACCTTAAACACTTAAGATGGCCACTACGAAATCTGGCCATGGCCGATTGGAAAGGCCGAGGGTCTCAACATGTTAGTGATAGGCCAGGGCCGTTGCCAGCATACTACTGATGGGTTGGAGTATGGCGCCACACTGGAAGCAAACAATGTTTTCCCAAGGAGTGGATCTCAGTGGGAGTAAGACGGTTCAAACAGTCCATAGGAAGATCACAGTCATTCTTGGCGAGCACATCGGCCGTCTCATTGCCATGTACCCCGACATGCGATGGGATCCATTGGAGGCTTATTGGTGTCTTCAGGCCTATCTCAGATAGAAGTTTCATAATCTCCTGGCCAGGAATATCAAATATTTCCGGCGAGTTCTTGAAATACTGAATAGCACTCCTACTATCAGTCAATATCCAATTGCAATTATTTTAAGTTGTCTGGGCATAATTAAGGGCAGTTTCAATAGCCATGATTTCAGTTCTAAAGACTAAGCAATTGTCAGGGTTTCGGATACTGATCCTGACTTCACTATCATTGCTGTTGACAAAAACACCACTCCCGCTTCTACCGTCTTCCAACTTGCTACCGTCAGTGTAGATGACCAAGGCGCCAGAAGGGATACTCTGACATATCCTTTCCAAAGTAAAGCATCCTAACTACAAATTTCCCCCTCAACGATCAGAAGAGTATTAACTACACCAGTCTAAAGAGCCAGCTAGTATTTATCAATTGCTCAACTATTCAGATAAAATTAATTATTATTATTGTCGCATTAGTTTTAAAAGACGTCATGATCGTAAAGATTATTCTATAATGTGCGTTAAAAGAGAACAATTCAACAACTCTCGATGGAAACAGTTTTAAATTCATGTAAATAAAAACTAGTTGATGGAATATGCAGTTCTGATAATTTTTGCTCTTAAAAGTCATTTTGTAAAGTTAAATATTTGAATATTTCTTTCTAACAAGCAGTAAAAGAATCCGATTGTCTCATACTGTATGTGGCAATTATAAATATTTCCAACTTTTTTAATGCAAATTTTGAACTGCTTACGTGCTTACATGGAATAATGGAACTTAGGAGAAGGACTGTTGACATTGCAGTCAAAAAAGGTAACTGGCCAAATTCATTTAACAATCTGGATGAAGCTTCTGTTAATAATAATCCAAAAGCCTAAAAAATGAAAAAAAGAAAATGTTAAGATAATAGTATAATTTCCTTTTTAGAACATATAGATTATAATAAAAAATAGTAAATAAGCGTTTCGCAATCCCCGTCCTTATATATTTTTAGAGACTTCACCAAAAATAAAATTAAAAATCATAATAAGCATAATGTAGCAGCTAAAAAGAAAACAGACTTGTTTAAAAAATACTGCTTATTCGAAACATTATGGATTTTGATGAATTCAGCGATAAAGAATGCAGATTATTATTATTAATATTTAAAAAAATATTATTGAACTTTTGTTGATTATTTAACTTCTTTTAGCTAAACTGTATAGTTAAAATATAAGTATAATTTATTATTTTAAAATAGCGAAAATATAATTAGTTTCTCATGAAACTAGTACAATTAGATAACCATAATGCTAAACAAAAACCAATAAAATTATTTTTTCGTTGAATGAACTAATTGTTGTAAGATCACGCGATTCATTTCTAAATCAATATATTTCTCCAAATTCGCATTCCATTTCCATGTTTTTAGTTCGAGGGCAGGTTTAACAGAAAACAGAAAATAACTTTTAACATCTATAATAAGCGTGCTTGTAGCTTTGTCTTCGATGCGTTAATCACGCCAACATAGCGTAGCATCTAAAATAAACGCTAGCATGAGCAGTTGCTTAAATTTTACTTACGGGAGCATACAGAAGCTAACGTAAAAGTGCAAAATCTCCCTATTGTTTCAAATATTTTATTCAATTTAACGTTGAGTTGTGATGGATCAGGGGATAGAGCTTTCGCCTTCCATTGAGGTGCACCGGTTTCGAATCCCAGCGATGGCTGGTCGATATGAATTCCACATCCAGCTTGCATCGACCACAGTGTAGACGTAAAATATCCTCAGTGGTAGACGGATCATCTGTTAGAGTCCCCTTGTCGTCAGGACAACAGTGGGAGGTTTTCGTGGTTTTCTTCTCCACGTAACGTAAATGCGGATTAGTTCCACCATAAAGTCCTCCACGAAGGCAAATTATCTCCCGATACTTGATTCAGGAGTTCCATTGTCTTCTGGATTGAATTCAAAATTACGAGGCTAAGGAGTTGAACATTAGTAGCCGTGAAGAAGAAAAATTGGGACAGCTGCTCAACGACGGTTATTAAATAAAATATTTAAATTTTGTTATTGTTTAAACAAAATACAAAAGAACGGTGTCAAACTATTAAATATAAAAACTGAAAACAGTTACGAGCATTATTTTTTCTTCTTATTTACGAGCAACAGAAACAGATTAATACAAATAAAGTAACATAAAGCAAAATATTTTATTGATATCTGGTATTATTGCGCGTCAAAATGGGAAAGATAATTTGCCTTTATTCTGCATTTTAAGTTAGTTGATTTAAATGGTTTGCAACTACTTCCTTTAAATTTAAATTTTAAACCTGCATTCAATTACTAAATTAAATCGGAAATTTAATTATATTATTGATATTATTTGTGAACTTCAGTTTTGTGATATCATACTAAATCATGAAGTATCAGTTGGTTTCTATTCCATGCAATCCCAATAATTGAAATTAAATAGTTGAAACTTAGTTTTTTGCTTACAACGCTTAGCATGATAACCTATTCTGCTGAATTGTTGTAGCAGCCGTAAGTAAATGTTAAGTGCGATTTTTTTTATATTCACATTTTGAAGTTAATATAATGAAAGAAGCTGATGTATATAATCAAACTTAATGATATTGCTTTGTGGGTGCTCACATTTGTAGTTGTGCATAACAGTGAACTAGTGACTATTTCTGGAACGGGATATGTTACTTCAATTCCATATTCAATTGCTAATGTCACGATACTGAGTTGAAAGAACCTATAACAAAAGAAACAATGTTAGAGACACTTAATTAATATTTATATTTATTTGATGTAAGGGACTTGACGCTATAACAAGGTAAGACCAATCTTTGTAAGACCAATCTCTCAAGGTAAGACCAGTATTAAATAGTGTGAAAAAAACTAGGCTAATCAATTGTGTCTTTAAATTTCATTTGACTCTCATCAACACTTTCTGAATCTGGACTTATATTATTATTGAAGCACTTAATTTAGAAATGTACTAATAGTTTAACAGTACTTTTTTCTATGGTTTATTTAATATCAGTTACTATCAGTTACTACTACTTACAGTGGTTACTATCAGTTTCCGTAATCAGAAAGATTTATTACGGAAATGCTTGTGGCCTATGAGTGATTAGTAATCAGAAAGACTAGTTGATAGGCTATAAGGGATTAGACCGAAATAAGTTTAAATTTTTTTTTTTAATTAAGACTCATATCTAAAGAAATTTTAAATAAGGCTGCAGTTATAAATCTGTTTGTCCTTACATCTTTAAGCATTACGAATCAAATAACCATAAAAATTCTGTTCTTTTATTTTTAAATCGCTTATAGTTTGTGAGGAATTCTGTTTTGCTTATAGCTTCCACATCCCAGTTTTTGTAAATTGATTTCTTTAAAAATCCCTGCCGAGTTTGAGAAGATTTCTCTTTAATACAACTTTTTAACAAACTGATTTGAGACTGTTGGTTATTCTGCGGAACAACTTTTGCCTTATACAGATTTGCTGTCAAATTACAAGAAGTATGGAACAAGTATTATCTAATATAGTGTCTACGGCTATTACTAAACTTATTTTTCTGCACCTGAAAAAAAAATTTAAACTGAAATACATTAAACCATCATAGGGAGTTTATATATAATTTTTTTGGTTAACAGAACTTTTTTGGTTTCTTCAAATCATTTTCAGCTATAAATTAGCAGTGAAATGATTTTCAACAAAACTTATGTTGGTTTGTTGATAGTTATGGCTTTAACACTAATTTACGTGCTTTTAAGTTTTTATGTCTTTCATATCTGTAGAAAAACACGTAATTTTTATTTATTATATTTTATTTACAAACACGTAATATAAAATCTGTCTCCTACACATTATCTGCTTCTGTGAATATCCACCCTGTTTTCTTCTAAAAAATATGAACAAAATTGGGAAATGGGGTGAGATACATTCCAAGCTTAAACTTTTTAAAGGAGAATTTTTTCGTTTAATTTAAATAAAGTTTTACAACTTTACTATTAGAACACTGATGAGATATATAAGGGCAAGGAACATTACATTATTCGAGGGACGTTAGCGTCAAGTTCCTAGACTAATGTATGATATTTACCATTACAAATAATATTCAACTTAAAAAGGAAATTTGTTTAAATACCGTGTAGTAAGACAAATCATTATACTCTTACGAGAGTCCTTCTGGAAAACAAGAACTATTTTTTTTAAATGATTCCTATTAAATGATCAATTTATCTACATGATATTGACTAATTTCTTTTACGTTTGGCAATTATTGGCAATGGTAAGTATCAAACTTCTAAGAAATAGAAAAATCGGCTGACATATGCATGTATTAGAAAAAAGATTTTGAATGATTAATATTTAAAACTCTTCCATAAAAATTTACCCTAGCAAAGATATCGTCAAGAAAGTCACCCAGAGTTGTTTCAAAACAAGCAACGAAGCGAATAGGATGAAAGCAACCAAAGACATCACGCAAGCAAGTATTGTTATTTCTCTAATAAAAATAAAAACATATTAATAACAAGTATCAGATAATGTAGTTATTAAATCCATAACAACTTGACTTTGAAAAGTGTCGAAATGATTGATTTTCGATTATCTATCTACTTATTTTTATTTTTTTTACTAAGTTTAACCTGATTGATTCGACTTGATCGCTTGAGTCATATGGCAACGCGTTGTATCTATTATTGCCTTTCAAAAATATGCATATACTCTACACACTTGTGGCGTAACTACCACTACGAAAGTTAAACATCAATTCACTGGTATATAAGACATGCTAACTTGATTCAATCATGAGGTACCTTTTGATAGATGAAGGTTGGCATGGTCGTTAACTCCGTACTCACATTGGTGACCCGGACGTGATTTGAACACGCAGTAACGCCCACTTCGATGGATTGTCCACATTGAACAGTTGACTTGCTACTTGTGATTGCGAAATGCAACACAGAAGCAACAACGAACGTTACGACGTGATGTTAATACACCTCTCACATTCAGAACTCAACAAACAGCTCTCCCGGTCTTTTACAAGTACAGCGACTAGTGAGATTCTTTCATCGAATTTTATCCCTGATAAAATTTTGGTGGGACAGTATTGTGGCGTAACTACCACTAGGAAAATTAAACATCAATTCACTGGTATACAAGACATGCTAACTTGATTCAATCATGAGGTACCTTTTGATAGATGAAGGTTGGCATGGTCGTTAACTCCGTTAACACAGTGACTTTTAATTAGAAACTAAGGTAAACATGGAAAATTAGTTTATATTCAATTTTTCTCTCTGAAATACATTATTGAGATTTTTATACAGTATTTTTGAAGTCAAATGAAGTCAGGTAAGTAGGATTAAAAATAATAGGATAACAATATAGGATTGTTTTAAGTGATTTCAGGTTTGCGTAGATAAATTTAAATGGATTTGTGAAGCATTAAGTAAATTTCAGATGCAAAGTTAAAATTGAAGATTTATATCAACAGAGGTAGTTATTTTATGGTCTCATTCATATTTAAACTATATGAAAAAATATAATTTCCTTTTTAGTTTTATTTAAAAGGATTAAGAAAAAAAAAATAGTTACGCTCTGTGGTTTTGATTGAAAATAAAATCTAATAATTAGGATTTTGCTGCTTATTTAAACTCGATTTTGGGTGTGTCCGACATCCGGCAAGATTGTGTTTTGCGTTTGCATCAGACTTTTGCTGTCACATGTCTTTCGAAAGCAGAGTTAAACCTTCGCCTGATGCCATTTATCTTTTCACAGTTCTAACAGGTTCACTCAACATTATGAGTCAATGTTAAAAGTCCAATTGCAATTTATGTCTTTTTTTTTTATAATTGAATATTTAATTTTATCCCCGGCGTTGAACAGCCGGCCCAATTTTTAAGTTTACAACTTCCAATATTCAACTTCGTAGCCTTTGTATTTATGAATGCGATTGGGAAAATTTTTACCTTCCTGGATGACTTTTTGATGGAACTAACCCGCATTTGCTTTACGTGGAGAGAAAAACCACGTAAGTCTCTTAAGATTAGCCTGATGGCAAGGGGACTCTCAGGGCTAAAGAGAATAGAAGGGCTGGTTCACTCCTTTGAAGTATCTCTCGCCGCGCCGATCCTCCGACGTCACTCTATTGGCGTCACTTTGGCGCAAAGCTCGCACTTTTACTTCAAGAACGGAGCGTTTGGCCTTACTAGCTCTAACTAATATTGGATCATTTCTTTTTGCGAGATATTCTAAGACATTTGTTATTTTCTATAATGACTTTCCTCAGTTTTTGCAGTGAATTTACAAGAATTTAAAACTATTATCGAAATGCCAGTTTGCGCGATTGCAACTTGCAAAAATTCTGATACAAAAACAAAAGGAAAAAGTATAATTTTTCGCGTGTTCCCTAAAGTAAATGAACAACTATGTAAAGAATGGATTCCGAAATGACACAGTTAATATAAAACAGCAATACGTTTATTCTGTCGTAAAGAACTTTTATAAAAATTCATTATCTAAATAGAAACCGCCTCGTTACTTCATAAAGAAAGGCAGGTGAAAAGAATTAAAAAATAGATAAAGTCAAAGAAAATTAAAATGTAAGTAAAAAGTATAAATAAAATATATAGTATATAGTTGAAATTCTCCTAATTTCATAACATATTTTTTAATGTAGTTATTCTAAATATTTATGATTTTTTTTAAAAATTATATTCTCTTCAATTTAAATATCTATAAATTATATCATCGTAAATTTAAATGTCTATAAACAATTGTAAAATTTCTAATGTCATTATGAACCTAAATTATTATTTTGTTTCAGTAATTAGCGTTTAAGGTTGATGTTTCCTAATGATTAAGTATGAACAAATTGCTATTAACGACATATTTTAAAATCAGGGATTCTAAATTTAACTTAACTTATCTTTATAAAAGAATATGTAGATAAAAAAAGTGTCGATATATGCCTTCATTTTTCTTAATAGTTAAAGTTAAAACTGAACTTTTTAAAATAAAGTATTTATCGTGTCATTTTCACCAACTAGCAAAACATTTTTATAAGTTTAAAATGGTATTTTTTTAATATAATAACCAAGAAAGTTTTTTTTGAACTATGTTTATGAACGGAAATAATGTGTTAATTACGTAAAGTTTGAAGGCTAATAACCAGAAAAAGTCTAACTTATTTTTACAAAGAGAAAGATGCAAAGTTATCATATCTTTGCTTGCGATCTCCGAGATCTGTGGACACAGTGACGTCATGAGGAGGGAAATCGTAGCTTCAGCTCTAAGAGCGGAGTGAACTAGCCCCTCTATTCTCTTTAGCCCTGGGGGACTCTAACCCATGATCTACCACTGGGGATATTTTACTGTGGTCGGTGCTAGCCGGGTGTGGAATTCGTATCGACCAGCCATCGCTGAGATTTTAGACAGGGTACCTCATTGGGAGGCGAGTTTTCTATGCTCTGAGCTATCACAGCTCATAATTAAATATAAACTTAATTCTCAACCATGTTTTGTGTTCTTAACGGCAAGGGGCAGTATTTGTAGAGATTGCTCTAACATCTGGTAGAATATTCTCTTGTATTTGTTTCCAGTTTTCTTCTGTTTACACCTTTTGACTTAATTTTTTATGTAATTGTTTGTTTCCGATGGTGAAAAATTCATTTGCAGTTGTTCTGCTTTTTGACGCCCTATGTATCGAGAGACTAAAGTATTATCGTAAATTAAGATGTTTAAATTTCCTAAAGAACCATAACGCCGTATTCAATGGAATAATGCAGTAAAGAGAAAAGACTGTACAAGATAAATAGTCACGTTTCGCTATGACGTCAGAGGAAGGCAGCAGCTGTATTGTTCTTTTTCTTTTTTTAAAAAATTATTTTTTTAAAAAATTTTCTTTTTCAGGATGGACAGTGAAGTAAAATGTCATATTTTTAGATTGTCATACCACGGGGAGAAGCGACAAAGCTTGTCAAACTAGGCGGGTAATTAATAAAGTAATAAGTTCAGGCTGGTCGTCGCAGGGATCCTCACACGAATCGATACTTTTTAGAGAATAATGTGTTATTTGGTAACTTTCGTAAGTTGGTAACTTATATTCATGAGTATTCGGATGGGAATTATACAATCTTTATTCCTCTCTTTGAATAATAATATGTACTAAGAAAAGCTACAGTTTTCCAAAAATGAAAAGCTTTCGAGTTCTAATTTTTTAATAACGTGAAAAATTACTCCAGCGCTGCATTATCTAAGTTAATAAAATTTGCAAATATTGAGAATTAATTGATTTCAACTGGGTTGAAAAACCTTACCAAATTGGTGATTTTTAAAAATGTTTTAAAATTTATTTTTAAATATTTAAGCTACTTGCTCGTTATAAAACTCATATAATTTTTTTTACGGCAAGATGGTATGCATAGTTTAAAATTGTAGTTTTAATTTAATTCACTTCTTTTGTGGTTTTTTTCCCATTCATTGACGAAAATAATTCGTCCTTAATAGGTGACTAGTTAATCAGTTCAAATGCACTTAGTCTTCGTATACACTAACTAGTAATCAATTTGTTAAACGTTTTTTAATGAAGTATTATTAAGTAAAAAGATTAAATGTTCATATTTACCTAAATTTGTGGGTAAAATCTAGAATAAAACCGGCTAACATAGATCCTGCCAGCCCAGAAACCATTAATAGTGTGCCCATCCAACCGATTTCAACTTCTTTCTCCTACAAATTTAAAATTATGGACAATGCACAATAAAATAAACGGACCACCCTGAAAAATTTTTGACCTAATAATTGAATCTTCACGTTCTAGGACTCTATCTTAATGGTTCGAGGATGTGACTTCAAATATGCTAATCACTTTGTACGGACGATATTTTAAGTTACGAAATCAGATACAAAAACGTACTTTATCTGAATAAACATCCTTTTTTTAAACTATAGATCCGGTTTTCTATAACCCAAAATGTAGGTGGTAGCAGGCAATCTGAGAAATATGGTGACATTAGTTTGGTCAGGAGACCTGTCTAAAGTTTGGACTCCTTAATGATAATTTTATTTCTTGCGTATTTCGTCATACCGCGAGGAAATTTTAAGTGAATATAAAACTTTTTGCACACAATATATAATTCGCTAATTTGATGATAATTCTAGGAAAAAATTTGCTTTTAATAAATACCTATAATCCTACTTAGTAATAGATGAAAACATTTCGAATTGTAAGGTATAAAATTTTTCATGGAATTTTTAAGAAAGTAATTTTACTAAGCAAATTACAAAATTTGAAAGAAATCGGTCGAATAGTTCCTAATAAATTTAATTTTAAAAATGGGACTTTTTCAAAATAAGATTTCTCAGAAACTATTCGTCTGATTTCGATCAAATTTTGTATTTTGCCTTGTAAAATTGAATTTTTTTTAAATGATGTAAAAAATTGTATACCTTACAAGGGAATTCTTCGACGTAAATATATTCGGCTAACTAGAATAATATAAAATAATAAATATTAACTAAAAGTTAATTTTTTCATGGAATTATCTATGAATAAATGAATTTTATAATTGCACGCAAAAATTCGTCAATTCACTTAAAAATTTCACTATATGGTGAAATACGTAAGAAATAAAATTAACGTTAAGGAGTCTCGAATTTGGTACGCTATCCTAACCAAACTATTGTGACCATATATCCCAAATTACGGCTACCCCTATATTTTGGGGGTTAAAAACCCGAAATTTTCAAAAAAGGTATGCTTCTGTGTCTGATTTTGCAACTTAAAATATTGTATGCACTAATTAATTAACATATTTAAAGACCTTTTTCGAACCACTAAGATGGAATCCTAGAACGTGAAGATCAGATCATTAGATCAAAAACTATTGAGGGTTGACCGTTTACAGTTTGCACAAAGTACATTAATAGTTCAGCAATTTAATTAGTATTTAATAACATACGTCACAAAACAGTTATTTGTTCTAAGAGGTATTTAGGTACACTTTAACATAATACTTAAAAAATTTTTTTTAATGAAATAAATACAAAAAAGACGTTCCTTCTTTTGCAAATATAGTTTAATAACAAGGAGCAACCACTGAAGTAATAATAATTAAGTAAAAATAATATTTTTTGTTCAATGAGCTAAATATCGCAGTGCCTAAACTAATTTTAAAGACCAAGCAAAATTTAGTGTATGAAGATTGCTAAATTCCATCTTTTCTAAAAAAAGGATGAATGCAATGGTGTATATAGTTCACTTATCTAAAGCAAAATAAATACAAAAAATATTAAATCATTCACGATAATAATCTCGATGCATTAACAAATCGTAAGCGTTGCTTTGGGTGTTCAACTTTACGTTCCCTTATGCTTTGCTGCGTAGAAACTATAAAACTCAGAAATTTGAAATTACCAAGATTTGTTGAAAAATTAACCGGGAGTACGATGGAAGGAAAAAATTAACAATCGATAATTGTTAGTTTAAGAAACATCAGTTGTTACATTTGTAGTAAAAAATACCCTGCAAACTATTTTACAGCCAGCAGGAATGCAATTAAAGAGTTAAAAATTTGTCGTGCTGAAAGGGTCATTCTTAGTTTTAGTATGTTTTTGCGTCTTATTTCGTAACTTAAAAATCGTTAGCAAAATTTAATTAGCATATTAATTTGAGCAGAAGGTTAAGCCCTTGAACTGTCAGGACTTAGTTCTCGGAAATTTGCTCATGGAAATCTGTTTATTATATAAAAACAGTTACTCAAGGTGCTCGCTTATTTTGCGCATTGTACAAGAAATGGCCTAAAAAGATAGGATCTAGAATTTATTTGATTTTAAACAATAAACGCAGTTCCAAACGTGGTTTTACAGCTCGTACCATGTAGTTAATTTCTTAAAAATTTATTGGACAACATCCTATTGTTGTTCATCCTTAAATGTTGTTAAATTATCTATAAAACAATTGTATATTATATTTTATAATTCTTACCGGGAAGTAGCGAAGAATTAAATTATTCAAAACAGTAGTAAATGCTAGAAATGATCCATACATCATTCCTGAAAAATATTGATGCTCTTTAGTATGGTTTAAGGAAAACAAATAACACTTGAGAGGCTTAAAAATGCAATATTGATTTTAAATAATTGCAGAAAATAAAAAAGTGTACGCCCTACTAGCAGTGAATCTTTTCTTTTTACTTATATTCCCATGAAGTTCTTCATTCGCAATATGCTTTCAATAAGGATTTGTTGTGTGGGTTGCGTCAGATTGCCGATGATGCTGGATGCTGCTAAGCGACACCATGTTCATAGAACCGAAAATCTCTAAAAAGTTCCAAAATACAATCGTATCTTATAGAATATCAAGAACAGAAAAGCATTTAAGAATATGGTTAGGGAAAGCCAACCAATGGCACTCAGAAATGAGTCTTCGGCTTTATTGAAATGTAAGGGATTTGTTGTAGCTAATTAAAAAGTGCGAGAGAGTTTCCTTCTGTTTCCTATAAATATTGAGTTGGTAACGCCATCATGGTCTTTTCTTAAAAATAAGTAGGTGGGCGAGTAAAGTGTTTTCAATTTCATCTTTTTGATGGAGGAGGTATCTAAGTTAGTCTAGCGTTGTCATGCTAAGAGACAGCAGAAGTAGTCTCGGCAAGATGTTGGCTATTCGTCAAGAAAATTTGATTTAAATCAAATAAAGTGATTTAGATAAAAGCACCAAGCTTGGCAAAAATAAAATAATGTTGAATTTGACTTTTTGAAATTTTAATATAGAGTGCGTTTGAAGCAATAAAAATAAAAATTTCATAAAGTTTAGCAATAAAAAAAAATAGTGCTTGAAGTCCCTCCGCTCGGAAGAAGTGAAACTTCGTAATGTGGAAATGAAAATAGGAAGGGGTAGAAATTGAATTTTAGTGAAATCATATTGTTTCTTTAAGATAAAATTTATTAACAGTGCTTACAATTCACAATTGATCGCATCTTTTAATTATCATTTTCGACTGGAGAAATATCCAAATCTATAACATTTACAATGGGATTATGATAACTAAAGTAAGATACGAAATGTTTGAGTTCTATTTTTTCAATATTTCTTGCAAAAACTGCATCAATGGTAGTTCCCCCTTTGGTTGTTGGATCATTCCTACCATTTATCATTTCCAATCCAAATTTGTCTTGAAGGAAGGTTAATAATGTTTCAGCTTCAGGTAACGAGAAAGTCACATTAAAATTTCCTGCAAGGATCACAGGCCGCTCGTTGCCATGGTAGCGTTAAACGTTTAACGCAACCTTGTTGGAAGTCGCATTAGAAGTTTCACTTCAAAAAATCAACCGATGCTAGTTAAACAAAAAACTCTCTCTTAGTAGTTTGCCCTAACAGTAGTAATTTCTCTTCATTACTCTATCATGCGATTTCACAAGAAATCTCCCCTTTCTTATACGAGTTTCCGAGAATAAACAACTCTGAGGAGAGAATTCTAATCACCAATTACCATTATGTGTAAAGGAGCATAGAGGTTGACGATTAGTCCATTCTTCTATTGATAGATTTTATTTAGTAGTTAGTGAATCTATTACGTGTAGATTTTCATCCTTTCATACAATGAAGTATTAAAAAACTTTATGGAATAAATTATATCAAATATCAATGCAGCTTGAAAAAAAAGCAAGTGCAATTTTTAAGGTGTTTTATATGTATCTGTTACGGTGACACACCGAAATCTGGAGAATGTCGACATTCACCGGTGAATGTCAACTTTCACATAGTCGCTTGGTGTATGTCCGAAATATTTGCTAAATACCCTTATTTCTGACTCTCACCGGTGAATGTCAACAATCACATAGTCGCTTTGGTGAATGTCCGAAATATTTGTTATATCCAATTTTATATTAATTTATTCGTTAATATTATTATATTTATTTGATATATTTATATTTATTCTATATTTTAATACTTACTGACGATAGATTAGAAGAAACATCAGTGTTTGGAGTATCGGGCAAA